AAACTTTCATATAACAATTTAGACCAAGTAAAATATTGCTTAGATATATATAGACAAACTTTCATATAACAATTTAGACCAAGTAAAATATTGCTTAGATACATATAGACAAACTTCCATATAACTATTTAGACCAAATAAAATATTGCTCATAAACATGTAGACAAACTTTCATATAACTATTTAGACCAAGTAAAATATTGCTTAAATACTATAGACAAACTTCCATATAACTATTTAGACCAAGTAAAATATTGCTTAAATACTATAGACAAACTTCCATATAACTATTTAGACCAAGTAAAATATTTCTTATAAACATGTAGACACACTGTTAGATAACTATTTAGACTAAGGAGAACACTGTTTATAAACATATAGAATGTGCTTTCAATAAAAACTTGTAGCCAAACATTAAAAGTTTTCAGGTATAACATACCATGTTTCCAATCCCAACAACATCAAAGAGAAACCACATTCAGCAAAAAGTCACGTCGGGCATGTTTTAAAATGCAAAATAATGCAATGAGTGGTGGAGTAAGCAAGGAATAAGGTTAACAGACACGAAGCGAGGACTTTGAATTATATAGAAATGCCAAGAAATTAGATACGTCATTCAAATTTTTGAGAGAAACTCTGTAAAATAAGCATAAGCAGACGGACATTTTATGCTGTGGAGAGTTGTTTCTATATGCTAATGACCAAGGTGATAATATCCCAAATATTTATTCACCTTGGTGTAGGCCTTGAATGATAACTGTTACATCTTATAGCTAGTCTTGTATAAAGTCCTTGAATACTCACCCATCCCCATACCTACAAACAGCTAGGCGGGAAAATAGACCACAGACTTGAAGCAAGACTATTTTCATTTTCAACAGAAATACATCAGGGGCGGAGTCAGAATCTAAAATTTGATGTGGCAAATTTAAATTGGTGAGGCAAATTTCATTTAAAGGGAAATAATGCTATCATGAGTCTTCATTTTCAATTGAAAAAAATGTCTGAATTCATATTTTTCATTCAAATCATGGCTAGACAATTGCCTCATGTCTGGCTATATGGTCACAACTCAACAATAAAAACTCACAACACAATTCATTGCCATTTACATTTGAAAAATTCTCTTTTTCTGATCCTCTAGAAATATTGATCTTAAATAAAAAGATATGAAGCTTATATGAATTGTATAACAATGTAACATCGCAAGTTTTTAATGGTTCAGGTTATAATTGGAGCATGTTCTTGTGCAGTACAGTCACAGGTGGATTTCCTGTTTAGAAGATAAAAATCTGCATTGTATTCATGAACATATTGTTACTACAATTGTTTCTGCTTCACAGACCTCCCAAATACACAGTCAAACATACTGTTAACGAGAAAATGTGGCTAATTACACGGAGTGAGGAGGGTTGGGCACAGAATGTTTTTTCATTTTGAGGCTCCAGATGGGCCTCATGGCTCCCTTTTCAAATATATCCTTCCTTAGAAAATATGTTTTTTTAAATATACACTGATATCCTACCAAATCAAAAACTTGACAAAAAATATTTTCTTATCCAAAAAAGAATTTTCTGAAAAGAAGTTTTGGGCCCATCCTTATCTATTTCAAGATCTGGCTCTGAATCAGATGATTACTTATTGCAAATAAATGCAAGGCAGCAACATGTAAAATGTCACCACCATTTGTTAGAAATGCCAGCCACCAACCGCTGATCACCAAATGGAGACCATAACAATATGTCTTTGGTGGTGGCATAAAAATAAATGGTTCTCAGAAACTGAGGCATTTCAGTTTCTCTGCATGAGACTAGTTCTCCAATCACATTAAAATAAATTTTCCATTTTTATTATACTGAAGTCATGGCTATACTACCGTAAAGTCATGCTTCACTGAATCAATGGTTAATCTTTTCAATTGAACTTTTTATGACACTATAAAATATCTTATTCCTAGGAGAGAGAATGAATTTAGAATTATATAGCACAATTTGCTTTTTACATGATGTGTTCTTTTTATTATCCAATTGCATTTAAACTGCCAACTTTGAAATTACTGTTCCCCTTGGATGAGGGAGCAAGAGGAGGAAATAACCCAGGATTCATAAATGAACCATATCATCCATGGATTCTGGGATATTTCCTCCTTTTAGTGCATGCAATCCGTAAGGCATCATGAACATTCTGATAAGGCGAGATCAAAGAGTTATCTGTTATCCAAAGAGTGTAGATGAAGCACTCTTTTACAAGAGCAAATATTATTATTGAAAAGGGTGCACATATGAGCCAAATATTGCAAATAACAGCATTGAATGTCAGGTTAATCACCTATTTTCTTGCACAATTTCAATGTCAGGAGAAAATTGATCGTTCGTGATTGATTGAGTCGTCCTAGAAGTGGCACTAAGGGCATGAGTGGATGCAATTATTTCTCTCACACATCACACATTTTATTCAATCAGACGACAATTAAGCGATACCCTCTCAAATGACCTGCACAATCAATCATGATACTCACGGTTACTTTAATGTCTCGACTCTTCCTCGAGCAAGCTGTATAAGGAGGAACTATATGAGAGTGCAAAACCAGTTTTCAATTTGTCAGGTGGACCCTGGCTACACTGTTCTCTTTTCCACAAAATGCAATTTCTACGGAATTAAAGAATCACTGATAAAGTTGGAATTGCCTCCATAAATATCTGATGGCGTATCTATTTTGGCATACAGTTGGCAATTGTGAGATATCACATCCTCCTATCAGTTTCCTTCTCTCTGCAAATATAGATGCTCTGAGTATCAGAATGACAGTTGCCGGCTTCCCTTGATTGTTGATAATTGCTTGGTATCTCAAGAGACAAAAAAAGTTTTTGCAAAATACAATGGTGATCATGCTTTTTGGAAACTGTAAAAAAGAGAGGACTTGTCAAAAAATCAAAGTAATTGAGTATGTAACTAACACTCTAAATGGTATAAAAATGTCAAGAAATAAGACAGTTCTTTCAAATTTTAGAGAGAAATTGAGCGAAATAAGCATGAGCAGACGGCTATCTTATGTAGAAGTATATAATTAGCCTCAAAGGCAAGGTTTGCATCCCATATAAAATCCATCTAATCCATCATGGCCTTTGGGAACAGTTGTAATAGGATATCTTCTATTAGGGGAAATGTCACTGTGAACCAATATCTTCAAATTGGAAAAGAGTGGAATTCGCAAGGAATAACGTAAGAAGTCTAGAATATGTAGATACCCAAGGTTTGATTCCATAGAGAATATACATTATTATCTTTAATGATAAAGTTACACCGTAAAAATTATTTTTGATAAATTAGCTCTGGAGGGAATGTGTTCATTGCCAAGTTTATTGATGTGTATGAAGTTATTGCAATTGACAGTTCAAGTTATGTTACAAATCTGCACTTTTGCACTTGTGCTTCAAGCTCTGTGAATGATCTGATAAGATCTACAACTACTACATTAACTACTCGATTTGTAATACATGTAGTGAGGGGGGTCAGGGGGTAAGGGTGTGGGAGCAACCCCCCTGGTCAAATTCTTTTCAAAATTATTCTGAGCACCTTTCAAGTGATCTTGGGCCAAAATGGTCAAATGTGAGCCCCATGGAATTTTTGTATATGGGTTTTAATATGAGGGATGCCCACATCTTTTTATTAGTTGATCAGAACATCACAAATAGGATCTGAAATCAAATGACTAATAAGAGGTGTTTTTAACTTAATATACCATTCAAACCTAGGGGACATTTCTTGTAAGATCAATCACTCTTAGTAAGGCAGTCCTTTGATATAATATGCATTTGTCTTGTAACATCATGTAAAATAGATTATATACGTAACAAGCCCTAAGTCTAATAGATGATTTAAGAGAATCTAAAAAATCAATCATGGTTCATATCAAATTACTCATTTTATATAAATGCTTCTGTTACCTGATTGTATTGTCACAATGATTTTGAACTTATTACCTCAACATTTATCTCTATCAGTGACCCCTTTCTCTTTTCATTTTTCCTTTCCCTACATCGATGGGCCTTTCAAAAGTTATTCCCTCTCTTCTATCAGTCACGCATATTTTCTCTTTTAGTAACCCCCTCTCTATCAGTGACCCCCTCTCTATTACTAACCTCCCCTCTATTAGTAACCCCTTCTCTTTATTAGTAACACCTATTCTTTACTAGTAACACCCTCTCTATCAGTAACGCCTATTCTTTACTAGTAACATCCTCTCTATCAGAAACACATATTCTTTACAAGTAACACCCTCTCTATCAGTAACACCTATTATTTACTAGTAACACCCTCTCTATCAGTAACACCTATTATTTACTAGTAACACCCTCTCTATCAGTAACACCTATTCTTTACAAGTAACACCCTCTCTATCAGTAACACCTATTCTTTACTAGTAACACCCTCTCTATCAGTAACACCTATTATTTACTAGTAACACCCTCTCTATCAGTAACACATATTCTTTACTAGTAACACCCTCTCTATCAGTAACACCTATTCTTTACTAATAACACCCTCTCTATCAGTAACACATATTCTTTACTAGTAACACCCTCTCTATCAGTAACACCTATTCTTTACTTGCAACACCCTCTCTATCAGTAACATCTATTCTTTACTAGTAACACCCTCTCTATTAGTCACCCCTATCCTCTTTATTAGTAACCTCCCCTCTATTAGTAAACCCTCTCCTATCAGTGACCCCATTCATATAATTGATTCTCATACCAAACCCGTAGCCAGGGAGGGCAGCGGAGGGATGATTTTTTGCCAAAACTGTCAAAAAGCTTCCCCTTGGCTAAAACCCGGGAACCCCCCCCCCCTTTGGTAAAACTGCTCCCCCCAGGTAAATCCTGGCTATGGCCTGCATACCCCAACATGTCTCCATCTTAATCTTCTTTCAAAGCTTGCATATTACGGTACAGTATTTCATTTTAGATTCACAAATGTACAAAATTATTTGATTTCAGGTATTACCATGACAATGGTTTGCATACTTTGTGAGATCCTCCTATCGCCACAGCAACCTCCAAATAATGATGACGACATATTGTTGTTGCCACGGAAACATCGCCGTCTTCCACAAAGAAAACTTTCCAACATTCTTGACCTCAAAAAGCCGAAACATTTACGATTGTTGAACTTGCAACAACCAATACAGAACATGACCAAGTTTGATTGTGTACATACAAAGACTAAGCCGCCATTCCCGATATGCGTCTATGAAGCATCAAAGGATAAGTACATATCAGGAGCACTTTTATCAGGTGGAATATGGGAACCTTACATCACAGAAGTATTCCAGAGAGCACTTTCAAAATACCCAGAATCTACCTTGATTGACATTGGAGCGAATATTGGGTATTACTCGTTACTTGCGGTTCACATGCACCGAAGCGTTATTGCAATTGAGCCTCAATGGGACAACATCCAGCGATTACATAAAGGGGCCCAGTTAAGTGGATCACTTGATAGAATCGAACTTCTACATAATGCTCTGTCTAATACACATGAAAATGTTTCTCTGACGGACAATTTAGACAATCAAGGCGGAATACAAGTCAAGCCAATACAGATGGGCATCCATGCCAGAGATAAAACACAAGTTGAGACAATCATCATGGATGATCTATTACAGATTGCAGATTTTACTCAAGCCATTATAAAAATTGATATAGGTGAGTTTTGCTAGTTGTTAAAGGTAGTTTAAAGTCCCCGATAAATCGGGCTACGTATACCGCCGTGTTTACATTAGGGGATTAGAAGAGTTTACTTTTTATTTAGGTATGCAAGCTACGTATATCAATATTAGGCCTTCATTCATGTACTCGTGTGCATGTAATCAGCATGCCCTTCAATATTATATAAACCAGGCTATTCAAGTACTGTATAATGTACACTATTTATGTGTGTACTACATACATACAATACAATTCCCTGGGAAACAAAACACAAATACTTTTTATATGTTCAAAATGAGCCATTTGATTGATGCAAACACTAAATAGCTTCATAAATAACATCTACAAAGTATATCTAATAGTAATTTTTAATTTCAATGGTGAAACTTCCCTGGTTACGATTATATGGGAAATCATCACGAGACGAAGATAGTTCGCCTTCCTGGCTTACCTCTGAATCGTGTACCCGGTAATCTCTTTATATAGTTTAGCGAGAGCGGTGCGCCTGCGCAGTTTTAAACTTGGGCGCACACTTTAAGGTAGATTTCTGTGTGAGGTTTGACTTAAACAATAGATGACTCTCAATTTAAGGCTTTTTACTGCTTTCAATACTATACTATATATCGTACAAGTAAAGTATAATACAAGTATATTCCATCTTTGCAACACTGTACTTCTACTTAATTTGACGCTACTTATTTTGGCAGATTTGCTGTTTTGAACATTTGGCAGCAAGTTAATTTGGCAGACTTGCAATATTACAATGTACTTATGGTACTATTTTATATGGTACCAAAATTACCAGGGAATTTGGTGGTAACTTTATTTGGCAGACTTTAACATTTGGTGGATCCACCAAATTAAAACAGCCATCAAATTAAGTACAGTTGTAGAATCAGATTACAAAAATGTATTCATCTAAAACAGAGATATCATGTGTTGAATAAACCAAAAGTATCATTTCTGGTAACACTGTGTCTGCTAACTTGTTATGTTGCCATGGCATTAAGACATAAACAGGAAGCTATCTAATCAGATGAAGTTACAGCCTAATTATGGCGAAATATATTTGTTCGAGATAATCTCATATTTTTTCTCACTCAACAAGTACCATGGTTCATTAAATCTCGTAGACACTCTGACATTTTTAGATGTTTACAAGTGAAATATTGGAGAGCTGTCTCAATAAACCGTGCCTTCGGCCAATATCAATGATTTCATTTGAGGATAAACTGGCTTGGTTTTCTATGAATTCAAATATCAAATAAGCAGACATGTCAAAAAACAAAGGTTTAAGCCAAAAGGTAAGAAATTTAGAAAATCAGGGCTATACTCTATAATACTCTTAAAATATGCAAACAATGTTCTAACTTTTAGGTAAATTGTATGGGTGGTATTATAAAGAAGGCCAGATATAGTCAAATTCAAAGGTGAAACTAAATCTATGGGCTCAAAAAATAGAGTGATAAGTGATATTTTGCGAAATAATCAGTGACGACAATTAATTAGCATTGATTTGATCAAATTTGATTTGATCAGGGCTATGATCAGAGATCTGCATCTACAAATCGAATCTAAATCAAGTCAAAAATCAATTCTATATATAATGACAAAAATCCAAATTGTGTAAAAATTAATCCTATGATATAAACACAGCTACCCACCTAGTTACACAGAGGTATCGTCAGTGTATTATGGCTGAACTACTTCCGGGATTTGAATTTGGTAAGATATTTTTATTTCTCAATTTACATCTACTTATAAGTCACAATGTGGATTATAATTTGGCTCGAAGTTATGGGAGATAGTCTAGTTTGAGAATGTGTCAATGGTTTTAGGTTTGGTATGTTAACGAAGACGCATTTCACATATTTAGTCCCTCGCTTTTGTTACACTGACGATCGGCATTAATATTGCCAATATTACACTGATATTGGTCGTACGTCAGTGTAACAAAAGCGAGGGACTAAATACGTGAATTGTGTCTTCGTTAACATATAAAACCTAAAACCATCGACACATTCTCAAACTAGACTATCTTCCTTAACTTCGAGCCAAATTATTATCCAGAATGTGACTTTTAAGTAGGTGTAAACCGGAAATAAAAAAATCTTACCGAAACCTAGTCCCGGAAGTAGTTCCGCCATGATACACTGACGATTCGTCTGTGTAACTAGGTGGGTAGCAGTGATAAAGTTAACCTGACATTTTTAACTCCATGTGAACTGTGAAGCACAATAACATGGCTGCTGGCAAATTGTTTCACACCTTACAGAAATTCCTAGAAATCTTAATAGCTTTGATGATTGCCAATTCCAGCTTTGCTCATTAGTTTAGCCTCGGTAATTGGAATAACTCAAGGTCGGGAAAATAGCATTTTCTAGACAATGGGCAGATGTTTTGGGATGCATAGAGAAGCAAATAATGCACTTGTTCCATCTCAATGCGGTATCAATCCATCTCATATTTAAAGTATATGTCTAAATAGTATGTGCGAAAGAGAAAACGACAAAAATGTGTTAAAAATATTTGGAAAAGAGAAAATTTGGGAGTGCAACTGTTTATTAGGCTTTTATTAAAAGTTTGTCTTTCACAGACATATTTCTAGATCCAGCATCAATTTCATTTAAAGAAGTCTTATGCAAGACAAGTCAAGACAAGTTTTTATCTAAAAACATGTATGTGATAGTTGAACTTTCAATGGATTATGAATGCTGCCAGACAAATGATTATTTTTTAGAAAGTATCATCTTAAAGCCTGACAGGAGCAAAGAACCTGGCCTTACCAGTCTACTTGTCCAAATATTTTGAATAAAATAAAATTATGGTATTTAATCCACAGACCTGATAAATGTTTGTGCTTTCTCAAGAAATAGGACCTTTAAACACTATAAAATCTAAAGTATAGTACGAAGAAATAAAGATACCAGAAAATAAGACACTTTGTCAAAATTTGTGAGATAAGCATGAGCAGATAAATGGATGAGTTATAACATCGTTAAAGAGATTGTATAAACAGACCATTTCTCGATAACATTAATGATCTCCTTAAAGCACCCCAGCCATGAAATTGAGTAGACCTATCACAAAAATATGCCAAAATATAGTAAATCAACAACTTCATGGGTCATTTCCAAGGATACTTGTAGTTAAACATAATACATCATGGTTTATGGGAAAAACAATTTTACCAGCTGGGGGCAGGTCAAAATATCAGTTGGAAATCCATTTGCACCTAGGTGAACATTTGGTGAACATTTGATGAACATTTGATGAACTTAAAAATAAGTTCTGGAACAAGAATGGCCCTACTCTTACTCTTTCGTTAAGCAGACATATTAGTGTATGTTCTGTGCTTTAGAGAAGCTTTACTACCAAAGAGGCATTTGCCTCACCTAAATTTTACAGAAAAATATATCATCACCTACCACACTTATTTATAACTAACCTATTCTTAGATCCTAGCTATACATATCTGTAGTAATAAAATGTCTCAATAACAAATGAAGGGACAACACATCAAAAAACATTTGCACCTAGTTGAACATTTGATGAACATTTGATAAACTTGATGAATAAGTTCTGTAGTAATAAAATGTCTCAATAACAAATGAAGGGACAACACATCAAAAAATGTTTCCGATCAAAAATGAATATGTTTGGTTCCATAATGAGTTATGTAAAGTAGAAAATATTTACAAAGAACTAAGATGCAAAATGTCACCACCTGCCATTTGTTACAGACACTGAATGCCGACCACAAACTCCAAACAATAAACACTGTCCACAAAAAAAGTTGAAGACCGCAAGAATATGTTACCAATAATGGTGGTGACATAATAACTCTTTTTCCATATGAATTATTCTGTTGATTTTACTTTCAGAGGGATATGAATGCAAGGCAATGGCCGAAGCTAAGAAATTCCTCGACAAAATATACGTGCCTTATATATTTATGGAATGGAAGCAAATGTTTACAGCGAGAAATGAACAAGATTCCCCGTGCCCTATGGTTGCCATGGAAACCCTCGCTAAATATTTAACTTCCCGGGGATATGTTCCTCATGAAGCAAGGACAGGATTTCTGCTCAACCCCCAACTTGCAAGTTCTGCATGGAGAATTGGTGATTTGTATTGGAGACACAAATCTGCAAGTAGACTTCAGGCAGATTTTTAAACTACATGTAATTGTATTTGAGATTCTTAAAAATTATGTATAATTAAACTACAAATGGATTACAAATATACATGGACTATCAAAGTACAAATGAGAATTCTCAGCCTCCGAATCCAATTAATGAACACAATTTTTGTGATGCCTGCCCACCCACAAACAGAAGCACACCTATCGACACAAAATGATGAAAACATAGCACATTGGAAAAGTGATGAAAACCTCATACCTCAAGATACATGCTGGACCGCATGAGGGTAATTGAACCATTTTGGTAAAGATATAATGTGCTGTCAGCTGAACAGAGAACCACAAGAATTCAGAGTTCAATGTTCAATGATTAATACATACAAACAAGACATATCAAACAATTCAACTCAATAATGAAAAGGGCATTGTCTGTTAGTGGTTAGACTCTGGACTGGAGTTTATTCTATCTAAAATAGGCTACAATTCAAAGTGATCTTGGAAGAGCTACTATAAGCAATTTCCCTTTAATCAAATAGCTACATTTCAAAGTGAGCTTGGATGAACTATGACAAACAGTGTCCCTTTAGTCAAAGAGCTACAATTCAAAGTGATCTTGGATGAACTACAACAAACAGTGTCCCTTTAATCAAATAGCTACAATTCAAAGTGAGCTTGGATGAACTATGACAAACAGTGTCCCTTTAATCAAATAGCTACAATTCAAAGTGATCTTGGATGAACTACAACAAACAGTGTCCCTTTAATCAAATAGCTACAATTCAAAGTGATCTTGGATGAACTACAACAAACAGTGTCCCTTGAAATAGCTACATTTCAAAGTGATCTTAGATGAGCTACTACAAGAAGTGCCCCTTAACCAAATAGTTACAATTCAAAGTGATCTTGGATGAGCTACTATAAGCAGTGTCCCTTTAACCAAATGGTTACAATTCGAAGTGATCCTAGATGAGCTACTACAAGCAGTGTCCCTTTAACCAAACAGCTACAATTTGAAGTGATCCTAGATGAGCTACTACAAACAGTGTCCCTTTAATCAAATAGCTACATTTCAAAGTGATCTTGGATGAACTACGACAAACAGTGTTCCTTTAATCAAATAGCTACAATTCAAAGTGATCTTGGATGAGCTACTACAAGCAGTGTCCCTTTAACCAAATAGCTACAATTCAAAGTGATCTTGGATGAGTTACTATAAGCACTGTCCCTTTAATCAAATAGTTACAATTCAAAGTGAGCTTGGGTGATTTATGGCTGAACTACAACAAACAGTGTCCCTTGAAATAGCTACATTTCAAAGTGAGCTTGGATGAACTAGTACAAGCAGTGGCCCTTTAACCAAATAGCTACAATTCAAAGTGATCTTGGATGAGCTACTACAAGCAGTTTTCCTTTAACCAAATGTATTCTTTTTAACATCGTGTTTGTAAATACTATCACAGAATTGTAAATAAATAAATTGCACCATTAATAAATCAATGTGTACATCTGAACTACTAGAAGGACATCTATACATTCAATTTTTTTTATAAAATTGGGAGTTTTACCAGGGAATTTGGCGGCGACTTTATTTGGCAGACTTTAACAATTTGGTGGATCCACCAAATTAAAACAGCTGTAATGACCTTCGATAGCAAGTCGCTACTACAGTCTCAGCTGTAGTGGCTAGCCCTTATGGCTATGTCTATGTCATGTCTATGTCAATAATCCGCAAAAGGCTAATAAGCCCATATAAAGCAGATATATAATTTAACAGTGATAGAATTTGAATAGAATATAATTTAAAACCTTAACATTTAAAAATAGATCTATGGTTTACAACTCATTTTACCTGGGGAGACTGTCAGGCTAACCGCGTTGACATCACCCCTCTTTACCAGTAGTGCAGGCTTGTTGCTGTGCACTGGGGACCCTTTACATTAAAACATAGATCTATATAAAAAACACACCTATTTAATTGCAGTTATTGACATAGGCATAGTATGATGATTTAAAACTACTTAGACTGTCACAGTCTAAGATGTCACCAGGTAGAGTGTTCCATTTAGCTATTGTCCTAGGGAAATAGCTAAATTTGTATGCATCCGTTCTAGTTGATGGTTGTATGAACTTAGAAGGATGATACAACCTAGTGTTGGTATTGATCTGTTGGCGGAAGTATGGAGGCACGTCGATGGCTGCTAGATTCTGCTTTCCTTTGTAGAAAAGGAAAACTCTAGCAGCCTCTCGACGCTCCTTCAGTGGCTCCCACTGTAGGTCTTGAAGAGCTTTGGTGACGCAGCCTGGTTCCCTTGAGTGACATTTGGTTACAAACCTGGCTGCTCTTCTCTGTACCTGTTCCAACATATCAATATCTTTTTGTCGGTACGGATCCCATGCCGAGCTGGCATACTCTAAATTAGGCCGGACTAGTGACTTATACGCCTGAGCCTTCACTTTTTCAGGGCATTGATGGAGGTTGCGCCTGAGAAATCCAAGCACCTTATTGGCTTTGGATACAATAGTTTGAATATGTGTAGTCCAGCGTAAGTTATTTGTGATGTCAATTCCTAGGTATGGGATGTGTGTTACCGACTTAAGGTTTTCCCCTAGCATGGTGTAATTGTGCATGATAGGGGATTTACCTTTGTGAATATTTAGCACATAGCATTTTGATGGATGGAATTTCATTTGCCATGTTGATGCCCAGGAGACCAGTTTATCAAGATTCTCCTGTAGTGTTAATGCATCTTGCTTGCTTTCGACTGTCATGAATAAAAGGCTGTCGTCGGCAAAAAGCTTAAGACTGGCTGAGGATGATAGGTTATTGCCCATATCATTGATATAAACAAGGAAACAGAGTGGTCCAAGAACTGTTCCTTGAGGAACTCCTGATTTTACTGGAGTTTTTGAACTTGATTCACCATCGAGCACTACCTGTTGTGATCTTCCCACAAGCCAGGATCTGAACCAGTTCAAGTTATTATTGCGAATTCCATAATAGTCGAGTTTGAGCAAGAGGCGTTCGTGAGCCACCGTGTCAAACGCTTTGGAAAAGTCTAATACCAACATGTCTGTTTGTTTATTGTTGTCGAGGGCCCGAGCTATATTCTCTATTGTATTGACAAGTTGTGTTTCACATGAGTGCTTTGACCTGGCTCAGGAGAAGAGCGTCTGACTCGAGAGTGGAAGGTCCTCGACCTGGGTTCGATGGTAAAATTGACATACCAGGGTGGTCTTAAAGAGTGAACCTGTGCAACAAGCTACACCACATAAATGGGGTTATATTCTCACATTTTTAGAGTAAGGTCAAACATTTCATTGGAACCATGAAGGTCACTCAGTCTTAAATCTCACAGGAGTTACATACATGACATCAACAGACATGCCCATGGGTATTTTCTACTGATTTATGGATGATGGGCTCAATCAAGGCTCCCTGGTTCTGGATAACTGCTGCAATGTGAATGTTGAAGTTGTTCACTGCTCTATCCAGCATACCTGGGCGTAGTTTGTATTTCTAATCAAAGACGTCCTTGTTCTAATGCATTATTTTCAGGAAAAATAGAGTTGTAGCTAAAGTTTTTTGAGCAGTGAACAACTTCATGAAATGATGGAGTACTTACATTATGTGGTCCCAGTTCTAATGCCATCATTCGTGTGACTTGATCCAATCCTGCCTTGCTTGCCGCATAGCTTGTGTGCTTTGGTAACGCAATCATAGATGCTTGGCTTGAAATATTTACAATGGCACCACCTTGTTTCCTAGCAACCATTCCCTTGGCAACTACCTATATACAGAATAAAGAATGTTAATATTACACATTTACCAACATGCCTGATAAAAACTGTAAACTGTAATATTGAAATAAGTTTAAATTCAGACAAATGGCACTTGAATGGCATTTAAATTTCAAAAGGTGTTGATGGATGGATAGACAGACACGTGGTTGCTAGTAGTTAATGGAAAATGTCACCCCATAAACACTTGTTAAAGACACCAACAGCCAAACACCATCCACAGAAAAGGTATGTCGCCACTAGTGATGGTGATATAATTATATAGCCCTTTAGCTCATTTTCCTTGCAAATCCATAATTTCTACCTTAAAGTTGTCTATGAAATCAAACTATTGAAAAGGCGCAAATTCAAATATTTTCATAAAAAATGAACTTTTAATGTTTTTCACAATAATTCTCACCTGAGATATGTTCACTGATGCTTTCAGGTTGATATTCAATACACTGAAAAGATAACAAGTGAATGTTAGAGCAGGGATGAATATATGAGGGTTATGTTATGGGAAGTTTTGGATATGGGGTATATCCCGAGGGAAATATTGATATCTTACCGAGGGCCCGGAGGGCTTTTATCTATAAGACATTGATTATTCCCTCAACTGATAAATTGAAAAGATCTTAACTTTCTAAACTAATGTTGATTTTATTTGTCGTATATGAAACATGTATATTGAATGAAAGTCAATAATTTAAAAGAACATATTTTGGTCAAGAAAATATCTACCGCCATCTGCTTCCATTTTGGTAGTTTCGCTGTAGCGAGATATTCTAACGAATTTTGACTGTTTCTACACCGAGCGAGAATGTTTTCCCGGGAATATTGGTGCGGGAGATATACAGCGGGAGATATATATATGTCCTGCTCCTCCAAGATATCGATTTTATATCCCGCTGTTATGTACCTGAAACCTCACTTGTCATAGGATAAACAATAGTACTTGAACCTCAAGCTAAACAAGGCATAAACATGCAAAATGTCATCAACGAACACCAACTGCCAAACACCAACCACAAAAATGTTGAAGACTGTAACAATATTATCACTCCTGGTCGTTACATAATAATAAAAATCAGTTTTGATTGACCAGAGTGTATTGACTATTATTAGTAATTGCCAACTACAAGCTGGACTTGACAACATTTTCTCTGAAATCTGAATTCTCTACTTTTTAGACATTTCAATAATGAATCAGAGAAAGAAATATGCTAGACGTTTCCGATAAATCGTGCCATCTTTTGATCCATCAGAGAAACCACCATATATTGGCTAGATTGATGATGTCATAGGTTGTACTTTTATAAAACTAGATGATGGCAACTCCGCGGAGTAGCAAATCCCAACGAACAAAATATCAATTACCGAATTCCAATCAATTATACTCATTACTTTGGTTAAAATTGAAAAATTTAGATTTTAGAATTGCGAATTCCTGCAAAGCAGCCATTTTGAATTTTCTGAGGTACAAATCTGAAAAATAATACCATAATTGTGATCTACTCCAAAATTCCTTCAATTTGAGTATCATATAGCCATACGTTGAAGGGATCGAAAAATTATTGCGAAATCGTACATTAGACGGCCATTTTGAATTTTACGAGGCTCGAATCAGAAAAAAGATACAATATTTGCAATCTACTCTTAATTGCCTTTGATTTGAGTATAATAAAGCTTTACTTCAGAAAGATCTAAAAATTAGGGAAATTTCTGTTTTCCTGACCCCCCATACACGGCCCCTGGGGGTCAGGATGAAAAACACTGAATAAATGTGGAATAGATAGATGTTGCGAATATACTACCAAAATTTCAAACATTAATATTAATTACTTTGGTTTAGAATGAAAATTTATGATTTTTGCGAAAAAGTCCCGCCATTTTTAAAGCGGCGGCCATCTTGAAAAAATCCATTTTGAATTTTCTGAGGTACAAATCTGAAAAATATTACCATAATTGTGATCTACTCCAAAATTCCTTCAATTTGAGTATTATATAGCCATACTTTGAAGGGATTGAAAAATTATTGCGAAATCGTACATTAGACGGCCATTTTGAATTTTACGTAGCTCGAATCAGAAAAAAGATACAATATTTGCAATCTACTCTTAATTGCCTTTCATTTGAGTATAATAAAGCTATACTTCAGAAAGATCTAAAAATTAGCGAAAATTTCTGTTTTCCTGACCCCCCATACACGGCTCCTGGGGGTCAGGATGAAAAACACGGAATATATGTGAAATAGATAGATGTAGCGAATATACTACCAAAATTTCAAACAATAATATTAATTAATTTGGTTTAGAATGAAAAATTTATGATTTTTGCGAAAAAGTCCCGTCATTTTTAAAGCGGCGGCCATCTTGAAAAAATTTTTTTTGCGTAAAACTATTCATCAATATACATCTTTCCACCAAATATGAAGAAAATCCGTAAACTAATATTTGAGTTATCTTCCGGGCGGACAGACGGACGGACTGACTGACTGACGGACTGACTGACTGACGGACTGACGGACGGACGGAGGGCTTCACTATATCCCTACCGAACTTTGTTTGTTGGGATAATTAGCAAAATGTTAATACCATTTTTGAAAGGGCAGTTTGCTACCTACAACCAATGACATCATCAATCTAGCCAATAAGTTATAGTTTCCCTGAAAAAAGTAATTTACCGATCCCATGATTCTTCCGTGAGCTCAAAAAAAGATTGAGCTACTATAATGCCGGCATTGTTAACAAGAAGTTCAATAGGGCCACATTTTTCAACTGCATCTCTGCATTCAGTCCAGTCTCCTACATCAATTAATACAGTTTTAATGCTAGCATTCTGGAACATAAAACACACATTTGTAAAAATGTAATTTACCTATCCCATTCACCTTCAGTAATCTCCAAAAAAGATTGATTACTTCCAATGCCTGCATTATTCACGAGAAGCTCAACAGGACCACATTTTTCCACGGCCTCTCTGCATTTAGCCCAGTCCCCCACATCAACAAAGATGGTCTTGATATTTGAGCTCTACAATTCACAATGAAATCGCTGCAGATTATCTCCATTGAAGGTTTGTATTTTTGATTTTTGAATGTAATCTTCTGACATGAACTGTATGCATTTTATTCTCATAAATTCACTAAATAGTAATGATTTTGAAATAGGGAGTGAAATAAATGTCAATATGCTATTTCCCAACGTCATTATTATAGTGTTCAAGGATGAAGGGTATATTCAATTCTGACCAGAAACAGCTTGTTTATTCTATAAATACAAAAATGTTAAATGAGAAAAAATGTTAAATGCTTGTCACAAGACTCACCATTTTGGTACTACTGTAAGTCTAAATTGTATCAACATCGTAAGTAATTGAGTCATGTTGAGATGTCAATGAGGCATCATGTAAGCACTGTTATTGTTACATTACATATTATCATTGCTGACATATGGTACCATTACAGGGTGGCCCAAATGTAGGTTTATATATATGTTTGAGTTGTGATCTAATTTCCAAGCATTTAAGAAAATGAGGCTTGCAAAATGATAATTCTGTAATAATGAGTATTGGGCAGAACATAAAGAGTAAACACAAAAAATAATTGTATGATTGCCATGACAAACTTGAAATAATACTAAGTACCTCTTTTTTTATACTGTCCAAATCAGCCTGCGTTCTACTGAGTGCGTACACCACAGCGCCCCCTTTTGCCAGAGCTATGGCAATCGCTCTTCCGATACCTGAAAGTAAAAGGTTTAATAGCAGGGAGCTTAGGGTTGTAAACCTACCAGTAAAATAAAAAACAGTTACGAAGTTCTTTTCTATACACTGATAAAATAAGTTGGCCAAGATCTAATTCAAAGTAAGTGCCTCCTAGGCATCAGGCCAGCGCTTATGTTAAATAGTCTTCCACGACTTGCATGGATCTAGTCTCTGGTTTCCACGAATCTGTTTTCCTTTTGTTATAGAGGGGGTACAAGTAGGTTATCAGGTGCTAGAATGATAGTTCTGAGAACTTCCCAATTTTTTTCCAAGTACAAGTAGGTTATCAGGTGCTAGAATGATAGTTCTGAGAACTTCCCAATTTTTTTCCTGTACAATTATAACAAAGAAGAAAAATCAATGCCTCTCACACTCAAAATTCCTCCTGTGGGGGGTTCACCGTACATACAGTGAGCCCCCGGGAAATTCCTACCTCAATTAATTATTTTGATGGAGTTGAATCCCCAATCGAATGGGTTCATCATCGGCAGAACAAGGACATTTTCATTTTTCTTCTACAAAAGTTAGGATAAATATAAATGTTTCTATTTTTATATAAAGTTTAAAACTGTTTCAATTTGGTCATTTGATTGCTTATTTTTTAAATTCAAAGTTCTCTCAAACATTACTGTTTTGACTATATGATGATGTAGACTGGTCAGAGACTGACCGTTTTTTTTTTATAGAATTGACAAACAAATGGTCTGAAAATGATTGAAATGAGTAAAGAAAAATAGCTTGCGCAGTTTTATATTCGATTGATTGGTTATGACGTCAGCGCGTTGACCAATCAGAAAGTTAGCAGGCGCAGGCTTTTCACAACTTATATTGGCCCGCTGTCTTGTGTACACTTTACATCATCATAGGTATGTTATAATTTTCCATATTGCACAATGATCTTTTGATTTCTTATTTTTTAGGTTTTACTGACGAAATAAAACAATGAAATGGGCTTTAGTTCCCATGAATCTCGAGAAGGTTTATGGATTCATTTTGTCTTATGCAGTAATAAGCAACTATTTAATTTGAAAAATTAAATAACCAGAGTAGAACTTGTCAAACTGGAACAGGCCACGTGCTTCTATTTACAAACAATAACCACGTGACCATGACTTCCGCCCACCTTTCCCGGCCCCTGTCACCAGAGCTCTTTTGCCTTCAAATGTGATCTCCATGTTGCCTCCTTCGTTAACAGCAAGCGATCTTTATAACAAGCATGCACCAATACCTCACGTCACCTCAACGCTACACGCGTACATGCAATAACAACACGTATATATTGAATAATGTTTGCGTTGCAATATTCCACCGTTCACGGCTTATAATGATGTACGCGAAATGATGGAATGATCAATTTTGCGCAAATGTACTTTGACATTTTTTGCCCTATTTAACCCATTGTTCTTCAGAGATTGCTATTAACATAAAAAGCATATAAATCAAGATTCTATATTGTGATTTATATCATTGTCTTGTTTAAAACTCTCTTATAATGGACTAAATACTAGAAAATACAATATAGATGGCGAGGTAATAATTTGTACGAGAAATCTCGAGATTCCTCGAACACGTGCGTGAAGTGAAAAAAGTGAAAAATTATTTCTGAAGTTCATCTTTTTCAAAGATTCTCACCACCAAAGTATTTAGACCGTGATTGTAAGGGAAGCTGCACAACACGAAGTAAAACACAGTGAATGATTGGGGACAAGAATGAGCAACATGGCATCTAATATTAAGCCTCAAACATATGATGTGTTTGTGGCGAATTTACCGCCAGATTCAAACCAGGTGAGTTTCACTTCAGTTTGGGAATATTTTTGCAGAGATTTCCCAAAGATGACCTTTCATATTCAGTCAATATGGTACAACGAAAATGGGACTTCTGCGCATGTTTTTTGTCGAAACTCAACTTTTGTCCAAGTTGATACGATTTACTCGAGTCTCTAGCTTACAGCTAGACGAAACTTCATTGATTTCGTATGGTGCTACACGCACCTACACGCACCTAGAACTCATTTTTAATAAATTTTATAAATATTTTTAAGAATATTAATCATATTTAGGATGAAGCGTTGCTTGTCTGGATTTAGATATTTCAAAATTTCATTTCGGAGTTTGACACAAGGTGAAATTTTTTCGCTGCAGCTAAAAATGGCTTCCGGTTCTGGACGTGAATAACATTTGAAATTATTCTCGCTTAAAGAAATCAAATATAACAATAGATTCAGACGGGGATGTGAGCTGATGTTCTTCAAATCTATACATAAAGGTATATTTCATATTATTATGCCATATTTACTGTGCGTGTGACACAATGATTTACAATATTTATAATACTAAGGCAGCTCAATCTTCCTCCTCAAATCCGGAATATAGAGAAGGCTTTGGACCGAAGTAAGATACGATTGTCTTTCGAACTAGAGACTTACCTCATTCGAAAGATCATAAAATACTTTATCTACTACTTTTTGCAAGGCCTGACTTCGTCGCTTACATGCTAAATATAAGAGTTAGCTGACGTTTGGGAGTCTGACTTACCTTCTAAAGGTTAGAACCCGAATCTTAATGAAACCATATCACCTTTGTTGCGTCGATGATGATGCATACTACTTTTTGCAAGGCCTGACTTCGTCGCTAGCATGCTAAATATAAGAGTTAGCTGACGTTTGGGAGTCTGACTTACCTTCTAAAGGTTAGAACCCGAATCTTAATGAAACCATATCACCTTTGTTGCGTCGATGATGATGCATAAACATAGCATTTGATAGAAATTAGTGTAAATGCTTTTCCGACTTTTTCATTTTTCATCAATGTTGACTTTCGGGAAGGCGTTGTAGTTATCACGAAATAACGCATTGACCCTTGAACTTTACTTTGTTGACGTGTCAACCAAGCATGTCTGGTGTGAAAATTAAAAGAATATTAAGCAATGTTCTACATCCGCCAAGCTAAGTGAAGTAGCCAATATAAAATTACCAATTTCCGATTGAAGTACGCAACGAACGAAACTGCGTGATCTACAGTCCCACTATTTGTCTGAACGAAATGCTACGTAGAAATATGAGCCATCTGCTGTATTAGTCGATTAATAGAGTAAGACCTGTTGGTGATGCTTTATAATTTAGACCAAAACATTGAAGAACATACGAACCTGTAAATCGTGAAAACAACGAACAAATATTCGGTTTTCATATATGTTCGGTAATTTTTCGTATTGAAACTTCCGGAACTTACAAGGAAATCATTCATTTTCTCGGTCCATGATTTACCTCTTGGATGTTGTGGCAAATGCTCCATGGTTGATGGAACAAAGGTGATATGGTTTCATTAAGATTCGGGTTCTAACCTTTAGAAGGTAAGTCAGACTCCCAAACGTCAGCTAACTCTTATATTTAGCATGTTAGCGACGAAGTCAGGCCTTGCAAAAAGTAGTACACTGAAAATCTTAGATCCAAACATAGTAGAATACGCAGTCCGTCCGCATTTGATTTTTTTAAGTGAGTTTCGTATATCGTCAGATTTCTCAGACTGATATCGGGTTATCTCAAATTGCTCAAATTATTTACTTGCTTGTTGTTGTTGTGTTGCATAAGCCGCTGTTTCCTCGGCAGTTCGTCTTGTGTACTGTAAATTCTCTTTGTGCTCTCTCATGTGCTTCAATTTACACTTGTTGCGCAGATTTTGTATTCCATTATTTTATATATATTATATGTCTTGATTGTCTCTCTCATAAAAGAAGAAATTATAATTATAATATTAAATCACTGTATATATATTCAGTCACTTTCTGTTTATACAGCCACTATCTATTTATACAGTCACTTTTTGTTTACACAGTCACTATCTGTATCGTGTTTTTGGTTTGTTATATTCTTTTGGTTGTTTTTAAGTATGCCATTAACAAATGTCTCATACTTTGATTTTGGGTCCTGTTTAGTGATTGATTAAATCCTGAGAGCAATTTTAGGTCAATAGATGGGTTGGGGCTCTCTACCCCTGACTTACCTTTAGAAGGTAAGTCAGACTCCCAAACGTCAGCTAACTCTTATATTTAGCATGCTAGCGACGAAGTCAGGCCTTGCAAAAAGTAGTATGCATCATCATCGACGCAACAAAGGTGATATGGTTTCATTAAGATTCGGGTTCTAACCTTTAGAAGGTAAGTCAGACTCCCAAACGTCAGCTAACTCTTATATTTAGCATGTTAGCGACGAAGTCAGGCCTTGCAAAAAGTAGTACACTGAAAATCTTAGATCCAAACATAGTAGAATACGCAGTCCGTCCGCATTTGATTTTTTTAAGTGAGTTCCGTATATCGTCAGATTTCTCAGACTGATATCGGGTTATCTCAAATTGCTCAAATTATTTACTTGCTTGTTGTTGTTGTGTTGCATAAGCCGCTGTTTCCTCGGCAGTTCGTCTTGTGTACTGTAAATTCTCTTTGTGCTCTCTCATGTGCTTCAATTTACACTTGTTGCGCAGATTTTGTATTCCATTATTTTATATATATTATATGTCTTGATTGTCTCTCTCATAAAAGAAGAAATTATAATTATAATATTAAATCACTGTATATATATTCAGTCACTTTCTGTTTATACAGCCACTATCTATTTATACAGTCACTTTTTGTTTACACAGTCACTATCTGTATCGTGTTTTTGGTTTGTTATATTCTTTTGGTTGTTTTTAAGTATGCCATTAACAAATGTCTCATACTTTGATTTTGGGTCCTGTTTAGTGATTGATTAAATCCTGAGAGCAATTTTAGGTCAATAGATGGGTTGGGGCTCTCTACCCCTAAAAGTATAGTCTCTGCCTTGTGGAGCATAAGTTCACGATCTTCCTGATATAATTCACAATCAAAGATATAATGTTGGACTGTCTCTGCCCGATTACAGTGCCCACATAGATTGGAAATGTCAGTTTGAACTTTTGCAAGATGGTGATTCAGCTTTGAGTGACCTGTTATGATTTGGTTTATTTTGCAGAATTCTGTTCTATTGCTCTCACAGAGATTATTTTGTACATCTACAGTCTCTATAATCTCTTGGATGAATTTAATTTTTGTAGAATTGTCATAAAGATTCTGCCATTTTTTCAAGGCAGTCTTTTTAATGGTTCTGTAGACCTCCTCTTTGCTTTGTTTCATAGCGGTTATTGGCAGGGTCGCTGCTTCCGCCGCTGCTTCCTTTGCATATGTGTCGGCTAATTCATTGCCTTGAATTCCGAGATGACTTGGCACCCAGTAGTAGGTTAATACATTACAGCTTGCACTCAGGCGGTGGACCAAATACCTAGATTTTTGCCCGTAGCCAGCTTTTACCAGGGGGGGAGCTTTTTTCCAGGGGGGTGAGCTTTTTCACAATTTTGGCTAAAAATCATGCGAAAAATTCTCAGAATGGTGAAAAACTGCATGATTTTGAAAGAATTTCTGGCCAGGGGGGGGGGGGGGGGAGCTTCCGCTCCCCCAGCTCCCCCAGCTCCCCCTTTGGCTACGGGCCTGATTTATAAATACGAATTTCTTTACCGTTGTAAGGCGCATGCGCAAAATTGATTTATAAACGTTATTGGTTGATGGTTTTTCTCATGAGCATGCGTGAAGTCTGATGAACACTTATGACGAAGACCGGAGCAAACATTACTAGCTCTCGAACGAAATTCCAAGATTCAGATCATTTCGCCCTGTTTGCTAAGCGTGTATACGTGAATGACAAGCTGTTTTGAGTAGATCAGGTACCTGTTTTAGACACAACATTGATTTAGCTTGACATTGATGTGTACATTGGCACTTTTGAGCATGTTAATACAAGTTTTTACACTCTTAGCACGAGACGGGTTTTCGAAAAATCTGTTATCTGATTCACTCGATTATCGTATGGATATGTATTTCTGCTGACATTTCAACACCACATCACATAGAATTACGATGCAGAATGATAATAAAACACAAAACAACTACTAAATTCCACTTGTTATTCCACAGGAGGTAAAAGTGCACACTGCCTAGATTCTTTGTAAGGGTCGTCAGACATCGGATTGGCCACCATATTTGAAATGAAAATATCACTAAATAGAGCTCTGCGCATGTCTCAACATTTCGACTGTATTGGCATGTTCGAAAACATATTTAATAAACAGACTTCATTTTCCATTGAAATGGATCTCCAAATGTTCGCTGTAGTTTTATGAGTAGACTATTCTCTAGGCCTACAAGTATGGATCGAGTAACTTCAATAGAAGTATGACAGTATTACCTTATTCTTTGGCCACAAAGTCACCCTTGGTATACGCAGCTAACGAAAATTTACCGATACGGGTCAAAAGCTGGACCGGTACGGGTTAACGGTTTTATTTGAATTTAAAACAGCCATAACTTGCTCAATTTTGACTTCCTCGTGTCTAATTTGAAATATATGATGCCTCCCGATGCTTTTAAGTACCCCAATTTTTTACAGATTTTTAAACGGACCAAAACTCTCTAAATGCGCATTTATGCTCTTTTCTCTCGAGAACGACTGTCTCATTTTCACGATAACTTTTATTTAGTACTTCTAACATATAAGATCTATTTTTCCCCATCAAGGTATGATGTAAATGACATGCTATTTACATCTTGTGAGTTTCAATGACGCGCATTTGATTTTATAAAAAATGCCAAACTTTGTGACAAAGAATTTCATCAGCTATTGCCCCGAACCGGTCCGTCTTCTCGCTGCAAGCAGATTGCCCCGAACCGGTCCATCTTCTCGCTGCAAGCTCAAATGTAATAAACATACCTTCATTGAACTTAGTATGTAGTCATCTACATCGGCTTTTATTTACTCTTTTCTAAGAGCAATCTTTTGGAAAAAATCCTTCAGTAAAAACGGCCATTTTGTTTTTCGCTAAAGCGAGATAAAGATCAACCTCAACAGATGGCAGTCCAAATGATTTTAAGTTTAGACGAAAGCATGCAGTATCTCCCAAAAGGATAGTATTAGTTTACATTCTATTTGATGGAATATTATCATTATGATTTTTAGAATAACATCTAAAAAAGATCTTACTTCAGAATCAACATTTTCACTAGTGCACGGTGGTCCACATGCGATGTCTTCTACCAAGTTATTTGGCTAGAGACTCGAGTAATGACAGTAGGTTTGAAATGATGATGTTGAACTGATGTTAACGCCATTCCCATGATTTCAAATTTAGCTATGCGCATGCGCAGCTTTGAGAAAGCACATGCTCATGATTGTTCACGTGATCACATCCTGCAATTTGATTGGAGATGAATGATGCTGGAGATGATATAATGGGGAATCCCTGAATACGATAGAATATGAAAGAATTATGGGAGCTACTCACTTCTTCTGTTGGCAGGTCCAATTTTCTAGCTGTTTTGGTCACTTTTACTAACTAATTATCCCATTGAACGAAGTTCGGAGGGATATAGGGAATGCCTCCGTCCATCCGTATGTACGTCCGTCCGTCCGTCCGTCCGGGCAATAACTCAAATACCGTTGGCCCGATTTTGTTCATATTTTGTATACTATACCCTATGGGGGTAGAAGTTCTGCTCGAAAGCTGATTTTCAAAATGGCCGCTCATTTTTGAAAAATGGCCGCCATTTTACAGTATTTTACTATAACTCGAAAAGTAGTGGAGCAATTTTGTTCATATTTGGTATTTGAATACTATAAAAAAGCATATTACTTATTCTGATGACAACTTGGCTAGTGAGCAACCATTTTGAAAATGGTGGCCTTTCTTATTTGTGTTATTTTATGATATTTGCTATATATTTCGTTTGTAAATATGCCAGCCATTTCTGTTCGATGGGATTCGCTACGCTTTGGCGTTGCCGTTGTTCTGGTTTTGTTATTCCACAACTGTGTACTATCAGACACCATCCCTAAATCATCTTCAATCAAATCAAGCTCTCAAACATAGCGTGGTAGATAGTCAAAACAAAGGGAATACTATGCCAATTTATATGTGACATTTCTCTGTTATCATGATGTGTTCGGAGTTTGGTGGCGGCATCTTTAATAAATGGCAGGTTTTGATATCATGCATCTTATTATGTTTTCAGAAAGCGATCCAGAAGATCTTCTCTAAATGTGGAAATGTGCAGTCAGTTACCTATGGGGAGAATAGAAAGGGACCTGGCTATATAGGGTATGAATAGTTTTTTATTATATGTATTGGGTATGATTAGATTTTATAATGTAATTAAGAATTCGAACATGACTGTATTCACTAGAGGTGTAACTTGCCAGAAAAATCCAACTCGAGTTCAACTTGCCAAATATTTCCAAAACTCGAGTAAAAGACGTTGCCGCATACGGTAAGGACTAGAGATCGCTAAAATGAACCAAGAATCTAGGCTAACCAAACAATATTTTAGAAAACCCAGAAGGGCCCCTCAAATTAATGAATGGTTTTCCCGGATTATCTTCATTATTTCTACTAAAGACTGCTGGATATCGATCTAAAGTTATGACTTATGATCTTAATTAAATGATAGATCATCTTTTTATGTAAAAGTCGTGAATAAGGGGACCATTTTTTATTCACCTTTAGTGACTACTCTATTATCGCCCGCTTGAGTTCCTTCAATAGTCAATCTTTTTCTGATTTTTTGGTGTAACTTGTCATTCCTCGATATTTGTTGAACTTTGTGAAGCTTTGAGAGTGTTTTTTAGGTGATGGGCGCTAAATACGGCGATCGTTGGTATATTTATTTTCCTAATGAAGTAATGTTGCACGATCTCTGGGACCCAAATTCATTTTACATGCTTGCAAGATAGGCAAAACACGCAAGTTTACTTGAGTTATAGCTAGCTCGCGAGTTGAAATAGATTGCGAGTTTCTAGATGACAACTCGAGGCAATATTTAGGCAGCTATGACGAGCTGTACTGACGGGAGTTACACCTCTAGTATTCACACCTTCCATAAACTGTGAACAAGGCAATATTATCTGGTATGTATAAATAGCACCTGGTAATGTGAGTAATGTGTGACATCATTATGGTGGGTCGTAGTAGTCGTGGGCAATCATGAATATTTGAAAAAAATTGGTGAGTTTCGAACAGAAAATGTTTGTGTCTAGCCCTACGTTATGTACTTGTAGATATAACACCTGCTCCTTAAATATAGACCAAAGAATATCACCTGCTATGATGTCTATATTACGATTCAAACATGAAACTCACCAAAGATTTTTGAACTGTGATATTGGTTATGTCCCGTCCCATCCCGAAATGGATAGTTCCCGTCCCGAAATAATTTTGTCCACTGACATCCCTATGACTAATGCATATTACACAGTGGTGAATTTTTGACTTTGTTCTCAGTTTATAGAAGGGGTGAATATATTCATGTTCAAATGTTAATAATACTGTAATAATACTACTGTATATCATCTCCGTTGCCACCATCAATTCTGTACTACGGTAATACTATTCAGTCACATGATCCAAACTTGTAGAGAATAATCATATAACAACAGCATACATTCTGAGATCAATCTCAATGGCCAACGATTCCTATTTATAAAATTGGTCATTGATTGTGACACAGGCATCACTCAGATTTGGAAAAATCTCCTCCTACATGGATATGTTGACTTTTTCAGGCCAGTAGCCAGGATTTACCTGGGGGGAGTGGTTTTACCGGAGGGGGCTTTTGCCAAGGGGGGAGCTTTTTGACAGTATTTGGCAAAACATCATGTGAAAAGTGCTCAGAATGGTGAAAAACTACATGATTTTGAAAAAAATTCTGGCAAGGGGGTAGCGGCTGCATTTTTGTTTCTGATTTTTGCTGCCAGTGTCTGTAACAAATTTTTTAGCTTATTGCAATCATTTTTGAAACTATTTTCATATCCTTTATTTATTTGTAGCTATGTGAGATTCTTCAGTGAAGAAGATGCAGAAAAGGCCTGTGTAGAGTTTAACGGTCAAAAAGTTCAGGGAAACCAGCTGAAAGTAATTAGAACTCAAAGAAACAAAACGTAAGTTACTTAATATGACAAACAAACAAAAATAAGTGTATGTGTTCAACTATTGACAATTGCAGAACTCAGCTCTATTCTTCTACTTCATTCACTAGTTCACTTCATTCTTACAGTCTTTCTGTTAACTTATATTTGGCCACCATGTATTTATGAAATATACTAATTTATTCCATAATACTACTGTTTTCCCAGGGAAATATGAAGGAATAAAAATCGTATTGAATCGTATTACATGAAAAAATCCTATTGTCCCTGGGAAAAAATCGTATTGGAGCGTATTACATGAAAAAATCGTATTGTCCCCGGGAAAAAAATCGTATTGGAATGTATTAACCTATTTCTGGTTTCCCGGTTATTTTTAACCTTGGCCAATTGATAAAAGCACTATCCAAATGTAACATTTTAGTGGAATGTATTATGGAATAAATAGGTTATTTCTGGTCGGGATTGAATATGGGTTTTATTCCTCGGAAAATATGATATTGACCTTGGGAAATATGATATTGACACTCGGTCGCTGCGCTCCCTCAGTCAATATCATATTACCCTTTGGTCAATATTATATTGTCCCTCGGAATAAAACCCATATTCAATCCCTCCCAGTAAATAACCTATATTTATGATTTATATTACAGTAGATACATATAGGTTATTTACTGGGAGGGATTGAATATGGGTTTTATTCCGAGGGACAATATGATATTGACCGAAGGGTAATATGATATTGACCGAGGGAGCGCAGCGACCGACTGTCAATATTATATAACCCAAGGTCAATATCATATTTTCCGAGGAATAAAACCCATATTCAATCCAGACCAGAAATAACCTATTTATTCCATAATACACCCCTCTAAAATGCTACATTTGGATAATGCAAAAAACGGGAAAAAATAACCGGGAAACCGAAAATAGGTTAATATGCTCCAATACGATTTTTTCCCGGGGACAATACGATTTTTTATGTAATACACTCTAATACGATTTTTTCCCCGGGGACAATACGATTTTTCCATGTAATACGATTCAATACGATTTTTATTCCTTCATATTTCCCTGGGAAAACAGTAGTATTATGGAATAAAGTGTCTCATGTGTCTCACATGAGACACCAAAGGGCATATTTGTCCCGGGGGAGGGGGGCACTCCCATATATTGGCTATATGGGAGTGCTAGTACTGGGTATTGCTTTTGAAAAAAAATTGCCGGAAGTGGGTCTTGTCTTTGAAAAATCACCTTAAAGTGAATCTATTTTTGAAAGAAAACCCCTAGATGTGAGTACATATTTTGAATCTCAGCGGCACACCCCTGTACAAAAAGTTGACCAGTGCCCCCTAGTTGCATTCTAGTAAACACCTCTGGTGTACCAGTTAACATTAGCTAGCTCCTTTTGCTACATGTGAACTGGTATTTAATGATGTACGTAATTGATATTTTCAGACCTTCGGGTGGCGGTGGTGGTGGAGGGGGTGGTGGTCCCAGGGGACAACAGGGGTTTGGAGGTCACAATAATCGTCAGGATCGAAACAGAGATAACATTACTTCACCTCCTAGACAGAACAGGTCCAACTTTAAACAAGAACCTGATATAGGTGAGTTGAGAGCGAGGGTAATACCGTGATATATTGCTATACATTCTCTCATGTGATTTTTTCTTTTTTTCGAGAAGGGGTAAGTTCATTTTGTTACATAAGAATCTTAGACAGGTTAGTTGGAGACAAAAATAATTTATTGATTTACATCTATTTAAACAATTTTTATACTTTATTGGTAGGGGTTAACTTCTTTGTTGCTAACATCAGGTTTTTAGAAAAGAATCACTTATGATTTTAAAAAGAATATCCAGTCACTTTTTTGGGAAGGACTTGTCAGTAGACAAGATATGCATGTGTAAGATTACAAGTAAGGTCACAACTTGGGACTGAATACAGTAGTTCAGGTCACCAGCTTGGGCAGCACTTGGTTTCCCATGCACATGGGCAAAAGCCATGGCCTAGACATATCACAATGTGTAAGTGAGGTAATTCAACAAATGAAAATAATGCTTTTGAATAATAATTTAGTCACCACCAGAAGTGGTGACATATTGTTATAGTTTCCAACTCAACTGTGGGCAATGCCTGTGGGCAATCAGTGTCTGTGGTGGCATTTTGCATGTCAATGCATTGTTATTTATGAATCATACCGAGAAGCTCCTAATCCTTGATTCTCTGAGTAGCTCCTGGTATGATCAGGGTGTGGAGACTACCAATGATACTGAGGAGATCACAGAAAGATGTCATCCTGAAAGCATTGGGATTATTGTATCCTATAGAAATGATTCTTCTTTTATTATTATTTATTTATTGTAGTCCCCAAGTCACCTATGACCATGAGTACAGCTGCACCCAAACCAGAGTTCCTTTCAAAGGTAGGTACAGAATAGTTCATGTATATTTGATTGAGCCTACAAGATTAAGTCAGATTGTGGCAAATAAATCTTAAGACATGTAAAAACTAGTTACATACTGGATACTCATTTGTGGCTTGTCATCATGAGCCCCCAAAGTCAAGTAGCAAAAAACTTTTATTATACTTGCACAAACAAACATAATAACACAATGTAATGTGCTTCTCTTATAGGAACAGATTATGGTCACCCATGTTGAGGACCCAGTCACATTCTGGGCACAGATCATGGCCCCAGATGCCGCAGCTTTACTCATGAAGATCACAGAGAGTATGATTCAAGTTTGCCCCCAGTCTACCAAACTGACCTCAGCCCCTGAAGAAAATAAGGTACCTCAATCAATCTAAATATTTGATTGGTCAGAGAGCAGTCAATAGTAATGCATTTTGACTGTGAAATGCATTGGTGGGAAGAGCATTTTTATTATGTCACTACCACAAGTGTTATTGTCTCCAACTTTTTTGTGGATGTCGTTTGGCTGTCAGTGTTCGGCATTTGATGTTTGGTGTCTGTAACAAATGACAGATGAAACAAAATAATAAGTACATTGTATTTGTATAGATTTGGTTTTTGTATCCAATCAATCATACAATTTTGAATGCAACTTATGTATTATATTGTATTGATGCAAATAAATTGAGTAAATAAATAAAAAAAATCATACTATTTATATGTTACAGGTTTATGCAACCATATTCTCTGAAGACAGCATGTGGTATAGGTGTCAACTAGTCGAAAAAATAAATGCTGATCAGTGCAAAGTGCAGTATATAGACTATGGCAATTATGAAATTGTACTTAACTGTGGTATAGTAGAATTACCAATAACACTCTCTAGTCCTTCACGCCTTGCCAAGAAATTTACATTATTGAATGCAAGACCAACAAATCCAGATTCCACAAGTGAAACATATAAATCTGTAAGTATAAGTTTATATCGTTATATAGTAAGATTTTGGGAGATTCCATTTGATAAGATCCAAAGCAATCACTGAAGTTGCATGTAGTCAAGAGCATAGTTTTCACATGTGTAGTTATATTGAAAAATTAAAAAAAGCACAGGAATCTACAAAACACCTGAAAAGAAGGATGATAGAGGGGATTTGGGATTTGCAAGTACACCTCGAAACACTGATTGAAACATGACATTAAAAGTCATCTATTTTTCCAAAAGTGTGAGCACTTTTGGATGTGAAAAATAAAAGAAATGATGGAATGTTTAATCAGGTCTGCATTTTGGTCACCCTGTAATATCAATTTGGTTTCTGTATTTGAGCCAACAAAAGGTTCTGAAAAGCAAGTCCAATGTCCTGTTTAAGAACTCCTATTTTTACTAATGAAAATGGATTCTATCACTGTTGAGACTCAATCAACTTGAGTTCTTCGGAGAAAATGAGGATTTCAGCAAGGATGTATTGACTTAATATGTGGTACAGTTGACTTTAAAGTTGCCTCCCATCAGTATGTATGTCATCATTGGGATAGATACAAAGTCCTCATTATCTCCGAAGTAAATTGAGTCTCAACAAGTAGATTCATGTCGTACAGGATTGGTAGAATCTATATTCATCAGTAAAAATAGGGGTGCTTAAACAGGACATTACAGCTTAACTAAGGCCATTTGAAATTTTGGGTAAGTTGTACTGGGTCACCCTGTATATACTTTGTTTGATTCTATTCAGCTAAAATGAATTTGGATTTTTACATGTTATATATTTTTTTAAATATAGGGAATGGATCAGTTGCGATCCTTGGCTGACCAAATGATTGAGTGTGATGTTTTGTCAAACCCAGTCAATTCAAATGAAAGATATGCCAAATTATTCCACCAAGGGGAGAACTTAAATGATGCCCTCATGGCCAATGGTCTCATTGAGAATATTCCTGAACATTCTGAGACATCACCTCAAACAGAAAACCCATTCATGAGGTAAGCTTTTTAAAATCATTTATAAAATCATTTATCTCACACTTGTAATAGGTACAATAGTGCTAAGATAATTGTCATACTAAGGGGAGTCTATAGAAATGTTATAATTTTTATAAAGGCCATGTTTGAAATGTAAAATAGAGTGGAAAGATCGGAACAAGCAAGAAATAAAGTAAAAAGATTGCTCTGAATTATAGGGAAATGCAACAAAATTAGGCACTTCAAATTTTAGAGAGAAATTATGAAAAAATGAGCATGGCCAGATTGCTTGAATTATGCTCATTTTCTGGGTTGCAAAAAATGAGGAGGTGCTTCTCAATGACGACCTCACCAAAAAACACATTTTATCTTGCTATTCAAAATCTGGAATATCTGGTCCTCGTTTTAACAGTTTGAAAAATATTTTAGTGAGTTTATGGTTTTGATATAAAATCATTGAGAAGTAGAATTAACATAAAAGTTGTGGCCCAATATTTGAAAATTAGAAAGTCTGACATCTTTTAACTAAGCCTACATCCCATTTATGGGGCATCAAAAGGTTAGCCGAATTTGGGTCTAAACATGAGTCTCACTGTTTCTTACTTTTTGGGAATTTGAATCAGTTTTGAAACAACAAGACCAAAATACTAGATGCCACTCTCTCTCCCATCATACAGGTCTCTAGAAAAGCTCATTATTCCCGGAATGCATCTACCATATTATAGTTATAATTCCCCTATACGGCCACCCAACAGAGGGGACAACAATCCCAATCGCTATGCCAATCCTGGTTTTCATGACAACCGAGGCCAGAGTCAACAACTAGAAATGATCAAGCAGGAACTTCAACAGGCTCACCAGGATAAGCAGGCGCTGAAAGATGAGAGAGATGAATCTGTGATTGATCTAGCCACAACCAAAGGAAAGCTAAAGGTGATTTATTCATTGTTTGTTGTTTATTTTATAGTTTTTATACATAATTTGTAAAATAAACAAAAGAAAAAGAAATAATTATGATTATGAATTCTATATTTTTCACCTAGTTGAAAATCTATTTTCAATTTTTCATGATCTTTCTCATTCTTACGTGAGTGCATATTGGTTTTCAGTTGGGTGCAAGTCTATTTTCAATTTCTCAAGTGGGTGCATCACCCACTTGCTTTGGGAGATCACTGTTTAATAAAAATGTGATTGCTACTGAACTGGTTTACACAGCCTCACTAAGTTGTCAAATAAACATTCAAACAATCAAACTCACTCACTTGTTTCCATAACTACAAAGTAAACAAACTTGTAAACAAAAATAAACATAACATTATTGATGGTTAGTATCATCTTTATTACTTTATGTAGATGGCAAAACTACAACAATAATCAGTCAGATTTCTTTCTTCTAAACAAAGCTTCTACTTTTTTTTCTCTAACATTTCTACACAGCCTCAGGTTTGAGGTACCAGGAGGGGAAATCCAACTGCATCGTCCCCTCTTGGATACACAAGCTCCATACGAAGCCTCACAATTCACATATGCGTTACCCCCGTACTGTACTGACCTAGAAGGGTCCCATTCGCACGATTTGAGACTACATGGCGAATTCCAACTTGAGCATACCTAAAAATGATGAACATTGTTCATTTTCATTTTTATGTCACCACCAAGTTTTTGTGGATGGTGTTTAGTGGTTGGTATTTGGCAGTTGGTGTTCGGCAGTTGGTTGTCAGCATCTGTACACAAATGGCAGATGGTGACAATTTGCATGTAAATGCCTTGTCTCTTGATTTTCCAGAGGTTACCTTTTTAAAACATTTCATTAATGTCTCGAAAATAAGGTATTAAACACAGGAAGGTGGAGAAACTTATCCAAATAGAAAAAAATCAAAATTTATTGTTCACCCAACAGAGGGCCTAAGTTAATGAAAATGCACATCTTGGAATTTGAATAATTCAGCCTTTAAAAAATAAAAAGATATAAAGTTTAAACCACTTTAACTTATATTGTCAGGGGTTTCACTAGAACTTCTCACAACAGGCTAAATAAATGAAAACAACAGGCAAAATTAATGGAATCATATATTTAACATGGAAAAGTCCCTAAAAACAACTGGCAATTTTGTGAAAACAACTGGTGAAAATCGCCTGTTGCCTGCTGCTAATGAAACCCCTGTATTGTAGTCTTACCCGTTATCAAAGTGTGATATGTGAAACTTTTTTTTAATTTCAAAAAGTGTTTTTGTTGACATTTTCATTATTGGTGTTTTGCAAGGTTTTAAAGTAGTTCATGTCTCTTTCAGTTTTTTTTCAATCATTGAACTTATATTATCTTAAATGATCCATGGCTACTAAATTCATTTGATATGAGAAATTGTAATGTCCTTGAACTAAATTACTTTTTAATGATGATAAATGCCACTAAATTTGTTTATTATTTATTTTATTTATTTTAATTTTTATTATTGATTGAAATGCACAATTTAGATTTGTTATGCCATAAATTATTTTCAAGTTAAGCCATTTCTCAAATAAAAATTGATTTTAAATCATTTCTCTCTAAAATTTGAATGATTAATCTGATTTCCTGGCATTTCTCTACAATTCACTGTGTAAATAACATATTTTTGCATTTTATATGTCTATAACTTGTGCCTCAAATCATGTGAGACTTAGATATATTATAGTTCATAGGAACTACATTGTTTTACCTGACATAAGCAGTTATATATAGGGTTACAGGAATTGTAGATGAATATGGTTTGCTCAAATGTCAGGGAGCTCCACAGAGGGTTCCAACCACACAAGGATATATGGTACTGGCCTCCAGAAAATGATCCTTAAATATATGAGATGAGAAGTTTATGACTTGCGAAAATGTCAGTCATTAGAAACACTTAAGCACATTAAAAATAAATATAATGCAGCATTGGAAATATTACAAATGTGCAAAAATTAAAGGTAGACTAGAATAAATAAAAATTAAATATATGATACGGTAAAAACAGATCACTTATTCTAACATACTCAATATTTGCGCGAAATCTTCCTTTAATTGCTTTGAAATCTTGTAAAATCACTGAGACATTTTTCCCTCATTGTGATGGCATCTGAAGAATTTACTATGAGGAAATGGTCTGAATAAATCCCATTCACACAATGTTAAAATATCTAAGTTGATATGAATCACTCTGATAAAACTAGTATGAATTATGCACAATCTGGCCTAACCAAATCGCTACTGCCATCTATATGTTCATCTTATAGAAACCAATTTCTACACCTACCTGTAAGGAGGTATGTTTCTCCAATTTGTAGATAAACTCCACATGCAGCACTTTGAAATGCTGTGTAAATAGTAGCTGAACCAATGCCAAGACTACCCTATAAATCATCAAAAAAGCATTTTTGAAACAACTTGTACATGAATGTAGCCTTCTCCTTCTTTTTGTAGTATTTACCATTCACTACACATTCATGCTAAAAATCTCTTGAAAACATATAGCTTACCGGTAACTTCCCTATTCACTGTTCCACAACTAGTTACATTGACCGAACAAAACAGATGAACTTCCTGGATACGAGATATTTGTTTTCTCGATTTTAACATAGTATAAGTCATGTTGCGGATTATCATTAGGCACAAAGTTAGACAACATTGTCTAGCTTTTAGAAATGCTCTCGGTTTGGAATTTGATCTTTAAATAAAGCTGTATTTCTTGCATTTAGACCATCGCTTTTTTTACATTGACGTAAGTCGTCAAAGTAACATACATTGGTAATATAACAGACTTTCGTCGATGTAACAAAAGCGAGGGGCTAAATATATGAATTCCTACTTCATTTACAAAGCAAATTCCAAATCAAAGAAACTTTTTAAAACTAAACTATATTTTCTAGCTTTGTGCTAAATTATAATCTACAACTTGACTTATAAGTAGGTTTAAATCAAGATAACAAAAAACTCGTAACAAGGAAGTTCATCCATTTTGTTACATTGACGTTCCGTCAAAGTAACTAGTTGTGGCACAGTGCTATTGAGCACAATTTTTGTTCATATTGATTCTTAATGAATGTGCCAGCTTCAAAAAAAATTTATTTTAAGTTCAATTGTTTGAGATAAAGAATCGTCAGATGTCATTGCATACTTGATCTATAGATTCTCCATTTTGTCCCATTGATAAATTACCTTAAAGTATCTTACACATCCAGAAAAAATGATAAAACCTGGGAAAATGTCTTTCAAATATCACTTGGACAAAATATTTTGATTTTGAACTTTGCATTCTGCCATTATCCAAATAAATGCCATATTCATTTCATCATTTGTAATATTATTGTGATCATGAAAAATCCCATCATATGGATTTACCTTAAATGTGACTTGGACTTGTACCGTGTAAACCCATTGCATCCCCACTGTAACCTTACTCTGTACTAGCGCCTTGATAGCTATTAACAGAAAGTATTGTATTGTATGTTAAAGCTATATGATCGTCCAATAAGTACACCACTTCTGACTTTATTATCCAAACAAATGAAGTTCACTAGGGATATAGTGAAGCTGTCCGTCCATCCGTCAGTCAGTTCATCTGTCCAAGATTATCGTAAAGTTATAATCCTTCAATGCTGTGGTTATGTTTTTGAAAAGAAGGACATCTGGTATGGATATTAGTATCCAATGACTTATATTTCATTAGATACATCATTTCTTTTTTTTCAGAAAATAAAATCAGGATTGTAAAGGGGAAAATGTTACGGTTCCATCATTTTACACTTCGTTAATACTGCTTTGATGCATATCCCATGAATATGTGTTATTTTGAGTTTTATATTAGTTTCACTTTAGAGATATAATCCTTTTTTTCTTTTGAGATATAATCCTTTTTTCTTTTTGAACATCAAACTCATCGAGTAAAAACGAGTAAAAAAGGTGTTCATGTACTCAAAATTGTTGTTTGTGTATTAGAAAAGGTAATCTAAATCTTGAGCATCATGAAAACTATTGATATTTGAGTGAGTACAGGAAATTACTTACCAAAATTAGCTCCACATATATGTTGTTGTGGATGTTGTGGTAAACATGAGCAGGCATTCACTATGGTAACAATCCCCATAGTAACCACACATAGCAACATAAACTTGCATCCTTCCATGATCAAATATTGTTATCTAGTATGTGAAATTATCTAGAATTAAAAGTTCTAACTTTCCTGGATGGTAGAACTTTGTGAACAAAAACTAAAATTTACTTTTAAAAACCTTTGAAATATTATTTTCATAGATAACATGAGACTTAGTCATAATTACATGCAACTAATTGATCAATATCAGTGATTACAATTTCTCATATATTTCCTAGCTTTTTACAAAGAATATAAAAAGGTCATGTAGATAATAGCGTTTTTTGAAAAGTTCAATTTGGACCCTCCACAAAGCACTTAAATAAGCATCCCATACTATTTCTAGAAAACTTACTCACTTGGTAGAATTTTCTTTAAACGGAAAAATAAATCAAGTACTTACTTATTCATATTAATACTAAGAAAAGATTCTTATTACAATACGTTTGCTTACCTTTTTAAGTGTTAAGTAATTTCCCTGTCTCAAATTGAATACATGTAGTTATACTTGAATGATGAATTATCAATAAAAACATAGATTTAATTTATTGAACATCTCATGGCTATCATAATATTTATCCCATCGAACGAAGTTCGGAGGGATATAGGGAACGCCTCATTCCGTCCGTCCGTCCGGGCAATAACTCAAATACCGTTGGCCCGATTTTGTTCATATTTCGTACACATATACCCTATGGGGGTAGAAGTTCTGCTCGAAAGCTGATTTTCAAAATGGCCGCTCATTTCAAAATGGCGGCCATTTTAGTGACGATTTTACAGTAATTTAGGTGCAATATGTAAAACTGTAATAGCAATATGTTTTGAATGTAAAAAAAATTATAAAGGACATTAATAATGCTACAAATGTAGATATTAAAAAGCACATGGCAGCCATCTTGAAAAATGGCGGCCTTTACTCGTCATTTTACGATTTTTGCTGTAACTCCAGATAGTAAATAGTGGAGCGATTTTGTTCATATTTGGTGTGTGAATACTAAAAGCATTGCACACTGTCTAAAGACACTTTTGGGATTGGTAGAAGGCGGCCATTTTGAAAAATGGCCGCCATTTTAACGTATTTTACTATAACTCGAAAAGTAGTGGAGCGATTTTGTTCATATTTGGTATGTGAATACTATAAGCATGGCACACTGTCCTATGACACTTTTGGTAGAAGGCGGCCATTTTGAAAACAATTTTGAAAAATGGCCGCCATTTTAATATATTTTACTATAACTCGAAAAGTAGTGGAGTGATTTTGTTCATATTTGGTATGTGAATACTATAAGCATGGCACACTGTCCTATGACACTTTTGGTAGAAGGCGGCCATTTTGAAAACAATTTTGAAAAATGGCCGCCATTTTAACGTATTTTACTAATACTCAAAAAATAGTGGAGCGATTTTGTTCTTATTTGGAATGTGAATACTATAAGCATGGAACACCGTCTATTTCTAATGACGCTTTTGGTAGAAGGTGGCCATTTTGAAAAATGGCTGCCATTTTAACGTATTTTACTATAACTCGAAAAGTAGTGGAGCGATTTTGTTCATATTTGATATGTGAATACTTTAAGCATGGCACATTGTCTAATAAAACTTTGGGGAGTAGTTGGCCATTTTGAAAAATGGCTACCATTTTTACGTGTGTTATTTTACAAGTACGTGTGCGATTTTTCAAAAAATTTTAGAGGTGGCTACTTAAAAGCATATTATTTCTTCTGATGACAACTTGGCTAGTGAGCAATCATTTTGAAAATGGTGGCCTTTCTGGTGTGTTGTTTTATGATATTTGCGCTTCGTTTGTAAAAATGCAAGCCATTTCTGTTCGATGGGATTCGCTACGCTTTGGCGTTGCCGTTGTTCTGGTTTTGTTTATTTAAAGAAATCAAACCAAGTCAAGTCAAGTAAAACAGAATGAATCACTTAAGGAAGTGCATTAACATTTAGCTTAACTACATAAGTATTGTCATCCTAGCCAATTAATTTGCAATTTATAATACAAGTTGTATAGGGACATTAATTGAGATTTGAGCTGTATTTAGGTCAGGAAATTTCATAAATAATGTCGCTGTTGAGGAATGTGGATAAAGATATGTAAACCAGGAAAATTTGGGTGCCCCTTGATATTTTTTATTGATTAAGTAATTTTAACAGGGAAACACTTTGTAAAGTCTATGGAAACAGGTGATTTTGGAGTGTGTGTGAACATGAACGATAGACCTTTCCAATAAACCCTTCCACCTTTTGCTTCATGAACGAAGCTTAGATATATTGGCTGGATTGAAATTGTCAGAGGTTGTAGGACCGTAGGTAACAAAATGGGATTTGACTTAGGCCTGATTAATTTTAAAAACATACAACATATGACATCATCAATCTAACCAGTATATGCAAGCTTCTTTAATGTACACAAGAGTTGGAAGGGTTTACTGGAAGGTTTTTTGAGGGAATTTTCAGTGACGGGTTGTTTTATTTCTTAGGTTACCTGCTGTCTATGTATGCAATTTTGTTTTATTTAATTGTTTTCCAGTTGGTGCAGGGTCAGCTTTATACACTAAATACTCAGCTTCAACAATCCAGTGTCTCCTATAAGGTAAGATTAAACTCTTCTTAAAGGCAGAATCAGATATCTAGTAGTGACAAAATTACTAGCAACATGTACGATTGACCTACCAATCTATTCCTTACAATCTCCTGAACACATCAGGTATATTTGTACCACGTGTGTTAGTACAGTGTTCCAAATGTTAGTGAAAACTGGTGCCGGTATCGTTACCGAATACCGTGGTTTTGTGTCTACGTTCGCGAATTCGTACATTTCTGTGACTGAGTTTGGTTTTGCAAAAGTTTTTGGTGGTGAATTTGGTCCCTTTCATACAAACGCAGTTTAGAGTCATGATTTATCAATGTCTTACCTGCTTATCGATAATTACTCGGATGCGAGTAGGTAGTTACCAGTTACGCCACCAGGTGGCTGATTCGGGGGAAATAACATGGCAGGGTATTACAGAATCCCCTTAAACTTGAATATTCATCAGTTTTAGTGGTTCACTTTTCATATTACCCGTATGTATGTGATAGTTATATAAATTAAAATATGTCCAGTAAAAGAAAATATTATCTGCCCAACACATGAAAAGATATTTCACTTTTTGTGGTTTTACAGCATGGGTCTATGGGGAATCTCCCCGACCTAGAAGTCACATTTTCAAAGAAAATTAAATTTTCAAAGTTGATAAACCCTTTGCAAAACCACATTTCTAGATGTAAATTTACATGTAGACTCCAAATATGACATCAGCTTGACTGAATTGTGAATTTTTTTTTTGTGATTCTACTCGCATCTGGGATATTCCTGCATTGAATTGAGACATCTACAGTCAGCTATTTTACTTAGTCATTCCTCAAATTGAAAAAAAAAAAATATTTTCATTTTTTGGCAAGTTCTTCTGCTCGCCAGGTGGCGCCCCCAACTCTTCCAAAAGGAGACAAAAACAAAATGTAAATATTTCGGATGTGAAAAGATTACTTTCTTCACTTTTTATCGATGTTAACCACTTAATCTTGCAATTTCTGGTAGTTTAATTTAATGCCACCATAACGGTACTTCCGGCAATACCACAGATCACCAACGTGTGTTCCCATTCAAATCCAGTATATTTAAATTGGAAGGTCCAAATATGTACTTTGTCATACCGTTAAAACTGATCTTTTTTTAAAGAGAGTGAAATCTAAAGTAATAATTTATATTCTCACTTAAGTTACAAGTATGTTGAAATATATGAGCTTTTTCCCAATCAATCAGCCATATAAGCGACTGAGCTTTTAACAAATTTATATGTAGCGATGTATCTGATTTCAGATGAAGTTGTTGATCACTGGTGTAAACAAAGTCAAGACACTGAGGTAAACAAAGTATTATAAATAAATTGCAAAATATAAATATAAATGGGAGCCAGATAGTTATTCAAGAATATTCAGAATTCAAAATCTGAATCAAATATGGTTTTCAGTATAAACACTCATATACTTAGTTATCCCACCGAACGAAGTTCTTGAGGGATATAGGAAAGCCGTCCGTCCGTCCGTCCGTCTGTCCGTCCGTCTGTTTGTCCGGGCGATAACTCAAATACTGTTTCACGGATTTGATTCAAATTTTATAGACTTATGCCTTATGGGTGTAGGACCTCTGCTCGAGAAGGAATTTTCAATATGGCCACTGAATTCAAAATGGCTGCCATTTTTCGTAAAAAATGTAATCTTTAATAACTCAAATACTAGTTTGCCGATTAAATTTTATATGCTGATGCCTAGGGACACAGTAGATATGTTCGAGTAAAAATTTTCAAGATGACGGCTAGATTTCAAAATGGCGGCCATTTTTCGTAAAAAAACTTAATCTTTGATAACTCAAATACCAGTGAACAATCTTTGATAACTCAAATACCAGTGAACGGATTTGGCTCAAATTTTATATGATAATGCCTAGGGACACAATAGATCTGTTCAAGAAAGAATTTTCAAGATGGCGGCTTGATATTCAAAATGGCGGCCATTTTTCGTAAAAAAAGGTAATCTTTGATAACTCAAATACCAGTGAACGGATTTGGCTCAAATTTTATATGATGATGCCTAGGGACAAAGGAGATCTGTTCGAGAAAGAATTTTCAAGATGGCCGCTGAATTTCAAAATGGACGCCATTTTTCGTAAAAAACGTAATCTTTGATAACTCAAATACCAGTGAGCAGATTTGGCTCATTTTTAAGATGGCGGCTGAATTTCAAAATGGTAGCCATTTTTCATAAGAAAAAACGTAATCTTTGATAAGTCAAATACCAGTGAACAGATTTGGTTCAAAATTTATATGCTGATGCCTAGAAACACAGTAGCTCTGTTCGAGAAAAAATTTTTAAGATGGTGGCTGATCTTCAGAATGGCTGCCATTTTTAGCTCACATGGTGAGCTTTTGCAATTGCTCACTTGTCCGTCTGTCTGTCTGTCCGTCCGTCTGTCCGTCAACAATAGTGGCACGTTTTAAAACCTCTGTCGATAGGATTCCTGTTTTAAGTTATTTCTGTTCAACATCAATGCAGAAAACTCCCCTATGACTCCTGGTTCAAAAGCTCGCCTATTTTCAAAATGGCTGCCATTTTTGTCTCGCGAAATTCACTTTTGACTGGCACGTTTTAAAACCTCTGTCGATAGGATTCCTGTTTTAAGTTATTTCTGTTCAACATCAATACAGTAAACTCCCTTATGACTCCTGGTTCAAAAGCTCGCCTATTTTCAAAATGGCCGCCATTTTTGTCTCGCGAAATTCACTTTTGACCCATTTCCTAGCTTTACAAATAATTTCAGGTGTCCTACATTGTAAAAATCTGTGTCAATGTAAAGAGTAGATATATGAAATAATTTTGTTACAAAAAATCAGCGAAAAAATATATCTATTTTTTTATTTTCAGCCATTTTAGTTAACATTGATTTGTCCATCTGACTTGTGAAATCCACTTTTCCGTCAACAACAGTGGCACGTTTTAAAACCTCTGTCGATAGGATTCCTGTTTTAAATTATTTCTGTTCAACATCAATACAGAAAACTCCCCTATGACTCCTGGCTCAAAAGCTCGCCTATTTTCAAAATGGCCGCCATTTTTGTCTCGCGAAATTCACTTTTGACCTATTTCCTAGCTTTACAAATAATTTCAAGTGTCCTACATTGTAAAAATCCATGTCAATGTAAAGAGTAGATGTATGAAATAATTTTGTTATGAAAAATCAGCAAAAAATTATATCCATTTTTTTTATTTTCAGCCATTTTAGTTAACATTGATTTGTCCATCTGTCTCGCAAAATCCACTTTTGGACCATTTGCCTTAAACCCTCTGTCGATAGGATTCCTGTTTTAAGTTAATTTTGTTCAACATCAATACAAAAAACTCTCCTATGACTCTTGGTTCAAAAGCTCGCCTTTTTTCAAAATGGTCACCATTCTTGTCTCGCGAAATTCACTTTTGGCCCATTTCCTAGCTTTACAAATAATTTCAGCTGTCCTGCATTGTAAAAAGCCATGTCACTGTAAAGAGTAGTTGTATGAAATAATTTTGTTACAAAAAATCGGCAAAATATTATATCAGTTTTTTTTATTTTCAGCCATTTTAGTTAACATTGATTCATCCATCTGTCTCTCAGTCAGTCCAAAAAAGTGGCAAGTTTTAAACCTCTGTCAACACTTTTTAAATCCTCTGTAGATAGGATTTCCGATTTAAAATAATTTTGTTCAACATCAATAAAGAAAAAAACCTGTGACTCCTGCTTCAAAATCTCGCCTAATTTCAAAATGGCCACCATTTTTGTCTCGGGAAATTCACTTTTGGCCCATTTCCTAGCTTTACAAATAAGTTCAGGTGTCCTGCATTGTAAAAAGCCATGTCTTTGTAAAGAGAAGTTGTATGAAATAATTTTGTCACAAAAAATCTGCAAAAAATTATACCCGTCTTTTACTTTTGAGCAACACCATGTGAGCCCAGTACCCACGGTACTAATTTTTCATTTTCATTTTCGTAATCTTTGGTAACTCAACTGCCGTTCGGTGGGATTTGCTACTCCGTGGAGTTGCTGTTTTTCTAGTTTAATTCTGTGATTAAAAACTTGAGGGGGAGCACAAATAATCACTAAAATTTTGAAGAGCTTCTGGACTTCAAGTAGACTAAGAATGGTAATTAGATGGTGCTGACCGGTTATCAGAGACTATTTATGTTTAGCGCTTAAAACAAATTAATGATATTTGTCATAGATTAATGAACTATGGTAATTAAAGAGCAACAATAAGATTCAAGCATGGTTGTCCAACTTATGGAGGGGAGTGTACTTGTATTTATTATCCCATCGAACGAAGTTCGGAGGGATATAGGGAACGCCTCCGTCCGTCCGTCCGTCCGTACGTACGTCCGTCCGTCCGTACGTACGTCCGTACGTACGTACGTCCGTCCGTACGTCCGTCTGTCCGGGCGATAACTCAAATACCGTTTGCCCGATTTTGTTCATATTTTATACACAGGTGCCCTATGAAGGTAGAAGTTCTGCTCAAAAGCCGATTTTCAAAATGGCCGCTCATTTAAAAATGGCGGCCATTTTAGTGCCGATTTTACAGTAATTTAGGTGCAATATGTAAAACTGTAATAGCAATATGTTTTAAATGTAAAAAAAATTATATAGGACATTAATAAAGCTAGAAATGTAGATATCAAAAAAGCACATGGCAGCCATTTTGAAAAATGGCGGCCTTTACTTGTTATTTTACGATTTTTGCTGTAACTCGAAAAGTAGTGGAGCGATTTTGTTCATATTTGGTATGTGAATACTATAAGCATGGCACACTGTCTAATGACACTTTTGGTAGAAGGCGGCCATTTTGAAAAATGGTGGCCATTTTGAAATATGGCCGCCATTTTAACTTATTTTACTAAAACTCGAAAAGTAGTGGAGCGATTTTGTTCATTATTTGGTATGTGAATACGTATAAGCATGGCACACTGTCTAATGACACTTTTGGTAGAGGGCGGTCATCCTTCAAAAGTTGTTAGAAGGCGGCCATTTTGAAAAATGGTGGACATTTTGAAAAATGGCTGCCATTTTAACTTATTTTACTATAACTCGAAAAGTAGTGGAGCGATTTTGTTCATACTTGGTACGTGAATACGTATAAGCATGGCACACTGTCTAATGACACTTTTGGTAGAAGGCGGCCATTTTTCAAAATGTCCGCCATTTTAACATATTTTACTATAACTCGAAAAGTAGTGGAGCGATATTGTTCATATTTGGTATGTGAATACTATAAGCATGGCACACTGTCTAATGAGACTTTTGGTAGAAGGCGGCCATTTTTCAAAATGGCCACCATTTTAACGTATTTTACTACAACTCGAAAAGTAGTAGAGCGATTTTGTTCATATTTGGTATGTGAATATTATAAGCATGGCACACTGTCTAATGACACTTTTGGTAGAAGGTGCCCGTTTTGAAAAATGTTCGATGGGATTCGCTACGCTTTGGCGTTGCCGTTGTTCTAGTTACAATGGACATTTGCATTTATATATACTCTGTAATGTGTACAGTATATTGTATCACATTGCACTGAATATTTCTATACATTTTTAGGCTACAGTTCCCTACAGATAGTTCAAGCAAGGACAATGTTGACCTTGCGATCAACCTCATTGTCAACCCAACATGTAAGATCTCACTCTCCCAGTTGGCAGAGATCGCCAAGGTGACTGGCTCTATACAGGTCTACCAGGATGCCCAGCTTGCTGTCAGGAAATGCACCAATAAGGTATTGTCCCCTATGTCTAAGTTCCTGAAAGGTTGGGAGGAAGATTTTTGACATTGTTTCTTTCGTTTGCTGTTAAGATCACACTTTGGGATATTGAAAATTTATTTTCCATTTTTATATTCAGTAAAACACCATAAGGTTATGATGCCAGTGTAAGGTACCTAATAAGGTAACACTTTCAAAGTAAGGTAAGAAGTACCTAATAAGGTAACACTTTCAAAAGTAAAGTAAGACCTAATAAGGTAACACTGTTATTTTACATTTTGTTTGTAGGTTGATTTGGAAAGTTTTGTCCAAGAAAGGAACAGAGCAAGGCTGCACCTAAATGAGAGCCTAGTTGAGTTACTGGGAGTTATAGCTGAACTACCTCTGAGAGACCGAGAGTCAGAACTACAGGTATAACTTGACTGAATACAGTGAAACCTGTCTTATCTGAATGCCACTTGGCCCAGTGAAAATGGATTAACATGTGCTCACATTACGAGGTTTCTTAATTATGAATAGTATAGTTTCCATAAAGCTTTTGATATCTCGTTAAATCTCGTTTTTCGTGAGATTTTAAGAGATTTGCATATTAGATCTCTAATGATTTACCTTTCCTTCTTTTAAATGGCATATTTGAATTCAGTGAAATGTTTTCTCCTATAATAGCTTTGATTTACACAGTTATGTAATTTGAATAATTTTTCATGACATTTTAAAAAAACTTGGGCCAAATCTCTATTGATGCAATGCTAAAATTCTTTAAAACCTTGGATTATTTGTATGCCAACCAACATTTGCATGTTTAATCACAACATGTACATAAACAGGGTCATCATATGGTATATCATTCAAGTTTTACATTGATTCAACTAACACTTTTTGATAAATCATGAAATTAAGGCATTATTCCAAGATTTTAACATGTAAGTAAATGCAACTCTAGCCCAAATTAAAAGCTGAATAAAAGATGGCGGCACTATATTTCATTGCTTTTTCTGCTATTAGAAACTATCCTATTAGTGAGAGATAACAGAATTGGGACTTAGAAAGAGTTCACATTGAGAGATGTTTGGCTTACCAAGGTTGAATGAACTATTTTTTGTTGAAGAGTTGTTTTAGTGTTTGTATTATCTGATGAAGGGCCTATTTAGAGGCCTAGAAGCAGTTGGGATGTTTGCCAGCCAATTTAAAAGATTTGATTTGGCAGATTAACAAAACAAAACATTCATATTAAGAGGTGTCCAGATAACATGTTTTACTGTGATATTCACTTAGGAAATTGTTATTTACTCCCTCTTTTCATTAAAAATTAACTCTTGCAATTAGTGTCACTCAAACTCCGTCCCTTTGTCAGTATAGATAAATGTGAATTTCTATCACTTTGAAAAAATCTGTTGAAGTACTGTATGTTAAATTATTTCCCTATATTGCATTAGCATCTGCCATGAAGCAGAGTAAAGGATTCTGATTTTCTGGCAAAATTAAGTAATTTTACATTTTCCAAATAACATATTTGTATTGTATGTTTGTAATGTCTGTATTGCAGCATGCAATAGACAGCCTACTCACGACACACAAGACTTATGCCAATATAAAACTGGCCAAACTGCCATCAGCTGAAGAGGCAGTAACTGCCTACCAAAATTGGAAGGTAAGATATATGTTGATATTATAGCACTCAATGATAACATGTTTACCCTTATGAATGACCTGCAACTCAGCATTGTTGTAGCCAGACACAAGACAGAGGAGGCAGCTGCCTCACAAGATTTTACAGAAAATATTTATTGAAGTCTAAAGATTGCTTATTATATACCTTTAACTCAAATTTGGCCCGCCCATTTGAATTTGCCTCACCTATTTTAAATTTGCCTCTCACCTATTTTAAATTTGCCTCTCACCTATTTTAAATTTGCCTCTCACCTATTTTAAATTTGCCTCTCACCTATTTTAAATTTGCCTCTCACCTATTTTAAATTTGCCTCTCACCTATTTTAAATTTGCCTCCCCTATTTAATTTGCCTCTCCTATTTGAAGGTTCTGGCTGTGCATCTGCTCAATTATTCGCATATAGGCACAGTATGTCATCAAATGAATTATGATTCTCATAACATGTGCAGAGAGGTGGTGACATTTTGCAATACTAGTAGTCTCCAACTTTTTTGTGGACTGAAATTGGTGCTCTGTGGTTGGTGCTTCTAACAAATGGCAGGTGGTGACATTTTGCATGTTAATGCCTTGTTACTATATATAAAAATTTGTATATTTCTAGAATAAGGTAAAGGCAGAATTCTGTGATGTACGTACTAAGACCAACACATGTCACAATGCAGTGGATAGTGCTCTCCTTCACCTCAGACAGGTATTTGATTAAAGAAGTATCCCGTCGTTGTTACAGTATATCACATGAACCTATATTTGATATTTTTAGTAAAAATTGAAAAACACTTCATGAAAATGATGTAGAAAGTAATGATTAAATTTTGAATTTTATTTTCATTTTTGCTAAAATCAAGGTGATTTAAAAAGATTCCACTATTAATTAAATTCTTTTTAAGTAATATGATTTTCTCTCTTCCTTATTGGATAGGTTATATATATGTATTTTATTCTGTTCTTTGCAGACCCTGTCGTTTGATTCAAGTGCGCCTGTTGAACCAGTGAATGGGAAGTCTGATCTGGATACATTGTTTCAACGTCTTCAAACAGCAGTTGATGAAGAAATTTCAAAGTGCTCTATGGTCAGTATCCATTAATTAATTACTTTCCATGCTTTTAGCAGTATCTGTATTTTTGCCAAGTTTTTCAGCGATCATATTGTCTTATTTATGTTTTTCTTCAAATTTCTATCTACAGATTATACCCATTTATCGCAAGTAAGATTGAAAGTCTGGTGAGCTCTTCTCGTGGAATGATTGTAATCCTTAATTTTCCAATATTTTTATACAAAGATGAACCTCTGTGAATTCCGAGGTATATCCCCTTTTGTCTTTCCTAATAAAATAACATTGCATAATTAGGAGTTAAACATGGATATGCATTATTTCAGGAGGAGTCTAATGATGACGCGGTTATCATAGCAACAGTGGTACAGGCATTATTGAGAGAAATGCGGGATGAGGAACTCAGAGACATAGAGGAGCTTTCAAGACTTAACATAGGTACGTTTTTCCTTGGGCTATTTCCTGGTTCAAAATTTACTGTTGGGAGGGGACAAGCAAACTCCCCCCCACCCTTTGTCAAAAATTCTTTCAAAATCATGCAGTTTTCACCATCCTTAGCACCTGTCAAGTGGTTTTGGGCAAAGTTGTCAAACGTGAACCCCCTGGATTTTTTTAAAGAGTGAACCCCCTTGGCAAAAGGGCAAAAGCTGGCTATTGGCCTGGAACCCTATGGTGTATTTTGCATTTTACTTGTAATTTTATTCTTTTCAGAGTATAAGTTAATGCACCAATCACTGAGCAGATGGTTGAACGACACTCCTGACATGTCAGACATTAACACAGTCAGGAAAACCATCAAGGCACTTAAGTCCAAGTTACGCCATAAAATAGCTGACAAATCTGATCTAGAGGAGGTATTTATAGTCTTTTAATATTATTGTCTTGTGATACTATAAACATCTCAGCTATATGTAAAACTCACCATTTGACTCATTGTTTCAACTGAACTAGAACTGTTGGCCTTTGATTTACATCTGCGAGTCAGGTATTCAGAATGGATTCTTAAAATCTCTAAATGCTTATTTTATAGCCCATTTGTAACTAATGTTTTTAGTCTTAGTTTTTGGAGACTCAATTGTACCTTATCCCAATAGATTCCCTGTGTGAGTGTTATGTTGGTTGAAGCAGAATCCAAAAATGTACAGTAAAATCACTTTTAGTGTTAACCCTTCCTACTGTGTTTTTTATTAACCCTCACTTTTAGTGTTAACCCTTCCTACTGTGTTTTTATTTTATTATCCCTCACTTTTAGTGTTAACTCTTCCTACTGTGTTTTTTTATTAACCCTCACTTTTAGTGTTAACCCTTCCTACTGTTTTTTTTTTTATTAATCCTCACTTTTAGTGTTAACCCTTCCTACTGTGTTTTTTATTAACCCTCACTTTTAGTGTTAACCCTTCCTACTGTGTTTTTTATTAACCCTCTACCATGTATTTGTGCTGTAGAATGATTCAGATGAGGATCCCGATGAGCTCAGTAAGCTTAATGCAGAATTGACAGATATCAGAGAACAACTCCATGCTGCTTTGGTACATGAAGACACTCTTATGGTATGTGAAACAGTTAGCAGATTTATTTTCTGGAATCAAAACAGTTAGAGGCAGATTTTCTGGAATCTCATTCTTTATTTTCTCGAATCAAAGACTTTAGAGTTTGATGTATAGGGCCACTTTCTTGTCCATATCCTCATTTTGATAATTTCCTGAAATGTGGTTTATTAGAGCCAGGCTCTCTCCACATTGAATTTTCTGTTGCAGCAACTCTAATTAATAATCCATGAATTTGCATCCAATTGCTCGTTGTGCCCCAAAAATTACAAAATCATAAATTTCCACAACAGTCGCAAGAGCTCAGATATTCCTGTTTGTTTTATTTATAGGTGGAGATAAGCAAATTGTATGGTGAACATTTCCCAGAGTTGAACACCCTGTATCCTGACCTTGGTTTAAGCTACCAACTGGTAAGTGTAGTTTTGCCACACCCTGTAGGGTGGATCTTGAGTAGAAAAATAGAAAAGCATTTAAATTAGAGCATAACATCTATCAGAAAAAACTTAACATGTTGTCATTAAAGAGATGCTTATGTAATAAACAGTGGTCTCACCAGCATTAAAGCAAATGGGCGCAGCACCCACCTGAGATTTTGAAAACAGCCTTGCACCTTCCTGAAAATCTATTTACACCCACTTGAAAATAAGAAAAATCATGAAAAATTGGCATATTTTGACCAATTTTGTTCTGAATTGTGAAAATGAGAATTTTTCACCCACCTGAGAAAACATCCAGGGGAGACCACTAATAAATATATTAAGTGGCTCTAACCTAAAATAACAGTGGAATAAAATGCACACATGGATAGAATTAAGCATGTAATCCTCATAAAAGTATTTGGTGTTGTATTATTTTGTTAATATTGAAAAATGGAAATGACGAAACCTCGAAAAAATTGTTTTTAAGACTTAACACTGTACGACTATTTGCTGCATCACTTCAAGATCACGTTTTTGTAGTTAAAATATACAAGTACTTGTTGTATATATTATAATGAACACTCCAAAATATCACCTAGCTCTTGGCCCAAGCACCCATTAAACTTAACTTAATGTCATGGAATGTACAAGGCGTCATGTACAGTACGCCATATTTATGTCAGAAGTTATCTGACATTGATGTTTGTGTTATACAAGAGCATTGGCTTTATCCTTGCAATGTTAATTATCTTAATTCCATTGATTCGCATTTTTCTAGTGTTGCTGTCTGTGATAAATCACTTCCTATCGATATAGTAAATAAACGACGCGGCCAAGGTGGTGTCGGGATATTATACAGAAATTCAATTAAAAATGTTTCGGAATTAGACATTGAAAATGACAGAATCTGTGGAATAAAGATAGGTCTAGAAACTGAACCATTGTATATAATAGGGGTTTATTTACCCTGTAGTAATACGTCGATTTTTGAGTACCGTGAGTATGTTCAAAATTTGATGGATATTTTTGATATGTACAATAGTAAGGGTACTGTTATAATTGCAGGGGACTTTAATGCCCACCTATCCTCTAATATAGGGCCACGCTCTATTGGTGCTATTAACGATAGAGGAAAATGTATCGAGAATTTTATTTTTGATTCTAATCTGGTATGTGCTAATGCACAAAACCTGACGACAGGCCCTGTGTATACGTATTGTAGTTCTGATTTTGAACATCAATCATGCATTGATTTTATCATAATACCTGCTTCTAAACTGGATTTTGTGAAACAATGTGCAGTCCTTAATGATCATGACTTGATTTTATCCAATCATAATCCGATATATATGCAATTTGAATTAGAAAGTAGGTGTTTCGAAACTAGCTATAAAAGTGTTCTAAAATGGAATAATGCTAACGAAGACCAGCTCACTAGATATCGTAATATTGTTAAGAGTAAACTAAAAGAAATTAACGTTTCGAATGCACATAATCATTCTGATTTGGAAAAGTTGACACATGAAATTGTCGGTTGTTTAAATGATGCAGCAGACCTTGCGATACCTAAATCTCAATTTCACCACTTTTTGAATCCTTTTTGGAAATATGGTGCAGTTAAAAATCTTCATGTATCAATGCGACAGTTTAGACGCATTTGGATCTCCGCAGGACGACCAAGAAATCATAACAATGTAGCTTTAACACAATATAAAAATGCAAAACGTCTCTTTCGTGCAGAACTGCGGAAGGCTAAAATAAATTATGAACGTAATCTTGATTCTAAATTTGACAAAGCTGCTGAGCTCAACATAAATGATTTCTATCGTCTGGTTAGGAAATCCAGAAAACTTAAAACAAATTCGCACGAATTACTAGTTGATGGAACAATAATTAGAGATCCATGTCTAATTAGGGACGCATGGGCAGATCATTTTGAGATGTTAGGGACTCCCAAACAGTTTCCACATTTTGATAATGACTTTATGCGAAATATTGAAACTGAGTTCCAACGCAATTACAAAGAATCATTTTCAAACCATGATACTACCTTAATTAATCCTATCGTTACTCAGGAAATACATGATATTATTGTACAGAGTCCTAATAACAAAGCTCCTGGTTTAGATATGGTAACTAATGAACATCTTAAAAACGGTGGTAGCATGTTAGTTAAGGTGATCACTGACCTATTCAATGCAATGATTAGGCTAGAATATGTCCCGCAAAACCAAAAAATTGGCGTCATTATTTCATTGTACAAGGGCAAGAAAAAAGATAAATTAATCAGGACAAACTATAGAGGACTTACACTCACCTCTGTTGTTAACAAACTTTGGGATACTATTCTCTTGGAAAGGAATATGCATATCTTAAAATGTGCAAATGTTCCGCACAAATTGCAATTTGCCCATAATGGCGGGAGTCAAATGGCCACATTCGTTTTTAAAGAAATAGTAGCTCATTTCCAAGAGAGAAACTCTCCCATTTTCACAGCCATGCTTGATAATCTCCAAGCTTTTGACTTATTGTACAGAAATGGACTTTTTGTAAAATTATATAAACTTGGAATTAACTCAAAAGCTTGGAGACTCTTTGTCAAATCGTATAGCGACACGAAAGCTAGAATTCTATATGATGGGTCATACTCCCGTGAAATTACTATTAATCAGGGCTGTGGTCAAGGTAGAATTTGCTCATCGCTCTGGTTCATGGTATATATTGATGACCTTATAAAAGAATTATGTGATTCTGGCCTTGGAGTCGCACTTAGCGATGACTTAATAATGCCATGTATCCTAGTAGCGGATGATACTACCGTGTTAGGAACTACGCCTAATGAACTACAAAAATTATTAGATATTGTATATAATTACAGCTGTCGCTGGCGTCTAGTATACCATGCAGGATTCCCCTTAGATAAATGTAAAAGTGCCATATTAATATATGATTTGCATTTAAAACGATATGATGAAACACGTTGGCACCTTGGACGTGAATCCCTTCCAACTAGACACCAACAAATATACGTAGGCAATATCATTGACTCTAATACTCATGTAAGCTCTAAGGCAGCTACAACGGAAGCTTGTCTTAAAGCAACACGTACTTTTAACTCTTTGTGTTTTATTGGTATGTACCGTAATGGTCTCAACCCTCTAACTAGTGCCAAAATATGGAAAAATATTATAATGCCTTCTGCATTTTATGGGTGTGAACTTTGGTTCAATATTAAACAAAATGAAATGGAAAAGCTCGAGCGTGCTCAACGACAGGTTGCCAAAAGAATCCAAGGTTTCCCTATAAGAACACCTAGTGCTATAGTCTTGAGCACGCTTGGTCTATTGTCCGTTGAGAGTTACATCAATAAAATGAAATTCCTGTTTCTTGGCAGATTACTGAGAACTGATAATCTATATGTTCAAAAACAGATTTTACTAATTAGAATATCTAGCTTGCTGGTTAGAAACGTTTTACACCTCAAACAAATGGGCTTTTTGGCTGATATTCTGCAACTTAAAGATTCTTATCCTGTTTTATATACTGAGTTTGAACGTTATATTAAAACTACTGTTGTAATGCATAAATCCAAATGGAAAATGATAGTTAACGCACAAATCTTTTCAAAACAACAGCAATTATGGCACCAAATGCTGGATCAGGATGCCTCTCTATATCGCTTTAGAAATAGTCATACAGTGTACGAACCAATAATACATTGGAAATTGGGAATTATTTATCCATCTCACACTTGGAAATTGGGACAGCTTTTATCCTTATTAATACTGAACTCAGAAACTGATAGATGCTGTCCTCTTTGCAATAGTGTGACGAATGACATCACAAAACATATATTGTTACAGTGTCAAGTACTATTTCAAAAAAGAGATAATCTATTTAATGCTGTTGTTGATACATTAGGAGTTGTTGACTCAGTGGCGTTATTTAATACTGATGATGAGATATTTCTTGAAACTATTTTAGGTAGCAGAACAGATATGTTATTTGATTGTAATGATTGCATTTGGCAACAATTTTTAATAGTATCTGCGGTGAAAATAGATTATATTCTAAACCATGCTGTACTACATTTAAATATGTAAATACCTGGAATATTTGTAAATAATGTATATTTATTATTATTATTTTATTTGTCCTTAATTTTGAGTTAAGTTAAAATGTTAAATTGTAATCTTCATTTAATGGAGGAAATAAAGAATATACAATACAATACAATACAATACAATACATTAACAATTCTGAACTGCCAGAATTCTACGACAAAATGCTAGGATGCTGGCAGAAGTACAAAGCTCAAGCTAACATTGATAATTCAATTCTTTGGAACAATAATCTTATCAAAATAAGTGGAAAAACAGTTTGTTTTAAAAATTGGATTAAAAAGGGCATTAACTTTTTAAAAGACATCTGCATTAATAATGAAATAATGTCATATGAACAATTGTCTCATATCATTGGAAAAAATGCAACAACCCTAATTCAGTACATAGGCTTAAAAGCCAATATTAGCAAAAAGATTATTGTTGAAAATATCAATATTAATGAAGTTAAAATGAATTTTATGGGTAAAGACATTATACAATGTACCAGTTCAGATTTTAGAAATGAATTTGTTAAACGCAGAAATGTGGATGTTTTAATGAATAATGTAAAAATTGATAAAAGCTCTTGGTTACGAGCTCATAATTGTACCAATGAAAATGTGCTCCGTATTTTACATTGGAAATCACTTCACAATATTTATCCTTGTAATTCGGTCCTGTTCAAGTTAAAAATTAAAAATTCTCCTTTATGTGACCATTGTGGAGTAAATGACACTATTGTACATCATTTTATTAAATGTAATAAAGTCAAAGATATTTGGAATAATTTCAATTTGACAGATGAACAAATTTTAGGTCTTCAAACATGTTCAAATTATAAAGATGTTCTCATTGCCAGAAAAACAATCCAAATTTTCAACTACCACAACTATTTAGGCAATATAAAAAGTGAGTTTCATAAACAAAAGATATTAAATGTGTAGAAATGTATGTTTATTTTGTATGATTGATGTTAATGTATAATTGTAAGTTAATTTTAAAGGAAAATAAATGTTTTAAAAAAAAAAAAAAAAAGTATAGAAAGTATTTTTGGATCTTTTAAATGAGGCAAGTCTCTAGCTGGAGAGACAATCGTATCAACTTGAACAAAAGTTGAGTTTTGCAAAAAAAATTCTAACATGCGGAGAAGACCCATTTTTGTAATACCATATTGGCTGAATAATTGAACATTGTATTTTTTATCTACTCTATGTGCTTACTGCTTTTATTTTCAGGAGTACAATGGCCTCGTAAAGACAGGTCGTAGCTTGGATCAGTTTGACGTAGAGAAGTTGCCAGGCAGCGAGAAGTCATCCACAATGAAGTCTTCGTTCAACAAACAACCAGTTGTGCTAAAGGTATCATTATTAAAAATGCAGACTTATTCAACGGTATATTTACATAGAGACCAACTTAAAATAGTGTTAATGTTCACTGATGTTGTATACTTTAAGACCAAAGTGTAGACCTATCCTTAACATTTCTTTTGAAATATTTAAAGCAACATTGTGTAAAGAATTAAGTCAAATATTTAGTATGATTTGAATCCATATAGTTCTACTAGTATAATGCATTACCTTTCAATGATATAAAATATGGTCCTCTCATCAGCCAACAATTATCCTAGGATAAAAAGTATACTTTATCTATTAGGAGTTTATATGTAGATAACAAATCACATCCTTAATGTTAATTTATGGGACTTAATATTTGGCACATTCTTGTAATGTTAGTTACTTTGCAGGAGTTTATATTGGGAGAACAGAGCAGTATGACAAAGGATACATTCCTACAAAGTGCCTTGAAATACCAACAGAGAGTCAATGGAGGGCTAGTGCCATTAGATGCAGTCTTCATGAGCAAGGTAATAATAACTAGTTTCACAAAAAAAGTTTTATATAGAGTTACAAGACTCTCAGACTCTGAGCTGCATGTCAGCAATGTATCTTGTATTCCCCAAGCTGTGATTCAAAATGTTCTTTGCTCTTGCAGGTCTCATTCCGAAATTAGTAAATAGGCAATATAAGTTACACTCTCTTGTTTAAATCACAGAAAATGAAGGGGGTCCAATTCTTGTGACAGTACTCACTTTAAGAAAAGAATGCATTTTAGCCTGTACTGGCCCCAATTTTAAGTTCAACATAAAAATGATAAAAAACACAAACTTGCATGTTTCCTGTAATGTAAGATTAATGTTTGTTTTTAGAATGAGAGATTTGCCTATACGCAGACTTGCATGTATGAGAGTAACCTACCAGATTACCTCATGAACAATCAGATCTCACATGGGGTAAGTAATATCGCAATAGACCCTACTCAATTGGTAACAATTTTGATTTTTGAATGCTGATTAGTTTCAATATTTTCTCCTGAGTTTGGATTATTAGTAGCCAAAATTGAAAACAAAACATATTCAGGGGTTTCATTAGCAGCAGGCAACAGGTGATTTTCACCAGTTGTTTTCACAAAATCGCCTGTTGTTTTTAGGGACTTTTCAACTTTCCCATGTTAAATTTATGATTCCCATTAATTTTGCCTATTGTTTTCATTTATTTAGCCTGTTGTGAGAAATTCTAGTGAAACCCCTGATATTATAGTAAGTTAATTCTTAAAATACTGAAAGAAGAGATAAATATTGTATTCTGCTTCAATGTTAGGATGCCCAGCAGATTTTACTGGGTGTGCTGCGTGGTATAGCTGCCCTGCACGACGTTGGTATGGTCCATGGACAGATTCATCCACACAATGTTTACATCACGGATAGTGTAATTGGTGTATTGTCTGAATATGATCTCACAAAATCTCAGGTAGGTGTGATCACCAATGGTGGCCTATTACGACGTAAGAGTAAGTTTTGGGCCTTGAAAAGAGCTTTAGCTGTGATTATCCAAAAATCAAGTGAATAGGACAAGAATAAACACATTAACTTGAAATAGCATATCCTTGATTCTACTGCATTTGACTATTGGGTGAAATAACCTGAACCCTGAAATGTTGACAGTGGGGAGTGGTAGTTGCAGAGCTATTGCTAGAAAGTGAAGCTGAACTTAGGTCAATAATACAGTCAAGTTTGACCAAAGAGGTCAATAATACAGTCAAGTTTGACCAAAGAGGTCAATAATACAGTCAAGTTTGACCAAAGAGGTCAATAATACAGTCAGGTTTGAGCAAAGAGGTCAATAATACAGTCAGGTGTGACCAAAGAGGTCAATAATACAGTCAAGTTTGACCAAAGAGGTCAATAATACAGTCAAGTTTGACCAAAGAGGTCAATAATACAGTCAAGTTTGACCAAAGAGGTCAATAATACAGTCAAGTTTGACCAAAAAGGTCAATAATACAGTCAAGTTTGACCAAAGAGGTCAATAATACAGTCAAACTTGACCAAAGAGGTCAATAATACAGTCAAGTTTGACCAAAGAGGTCAATAATACAGTCAAGTTTGACCAGAGAGGTCAATAATACAGTCAAATTTGACCAAAAAGGTCAATAATACAGTCAAGTTTGACCAAAAAGGTCAATAATACAGTCAAGTTTGACCAAAGAGGTCAATAATACAGTCAAGTTTGACCAAAGAGGTCAATAATACAGTCAAGTTTGACCAAAAAGGTCAATAATACAGTCAAGTTTGACCAAAGAGGTCAATAATACAGTCAAGTTTGACCAAAGAGGTCAATAATACAGTCAAGTTTGACCAGAGAGGTCAATAATACAGTCAAATTTGACCAAAAAGGTCAATAATACAGTCAAGTTTGACCAGAGAGGTCAATAATACAGTCAAGTTTGACCAGAGAGGTCAATAATACAGTCAAGTTTGACCAGAGAGGAAGCAGACAGAAAACTAGAAAGAGCATTCAAAACTAATTACATGTACATTGAGATGAGTATACTTTGGACTATATGTTTTCTATGCACGATAAGATATAACAAGAATCCCATTTTCATGTTGGTAAATTTTCAGGAAGAGAGAGCATTGAACCGTGGAACAGATACAGGTAAAATGGCTTGGCAAGGCCCAGAGGTTTTGAAACCTGGTTTAGTCAGCCCTGCAACTGATCTCTACTGCTTTGGTCTCCTAGCCTTCTATATCCACTTCTTCAGGCTTTGTACAGAGGCTACCCAGATATTTGTGCCCAGTGTTGCCGCGCTTGGTTCTGTAAGTATCTCACCCTGTAACCCAGAGCCTTTGGCCTTTTATTAGAGCTGAAGTATGACATGAGTGTCAGCTGTTTTGGCACATGCAACATAAATTTATCAGTTCGTGTAGATGAAATTTGGACTTCTCATTTGATGAGTTCACTGTTTTTAGCTCAATGTATCTAAAATCTGTAACGCATTCACCAGATTTATCCGTAGTAGTTCAATTAATACTAGATGTTGTTGCAGATACATTTTAGCTCTAACCCATTGTGCGAAACCTCTCTAATAAAGCTATATAGAAGGCAGACTTGCCAACCTCCCGTTTTTTTACGGGAATCTCCCGTAAATTTTTTGTTTTTCCGTAAAAAATACCAAACTCCCGTACCGTTTTCTCCCGTAAAAACTCCCGCTGTCGAAATCTACCGTATTTAAATGGAATTTGACAAATTTGTGACCTTGATTATTGCAGGCACGCTTCTTTCTTTTACTCCAAGAAGGTTGGCTCCCATGGTTCACTATCGATACTTTCATAAATAACTTAAAAGTACTTCATTCCCATGATTCAAATTGCTTTTCTGCGATCAGTTCGGTATAAGTTTGCACAGCAAATGTACGCAAATGGGGGCCAGTTCATATATTCTGTCATACTTCTGTTGGGAGAATACATTTTGTTTTTATATGGCGCTAAACAAAATATTCCCGCAATATAAGGCGCATTATGGGTAGGGACTGCTGTGAAATAATGAACGTAAGTGACATCTATCTTAGATTATAAGTTCTAATTAATTTATTAACTGCGCATGCGTCATAATAATTTCAACCAATTAAATCGCTGGATTTAATGCTCATAAATCTCCCGTTTTCTCAAAATCTAAAGTAAAAACTCCCGTTTTTTCAGAAATCTGCCGTAAAAACTCACGTTTTTTCAAAATTTACCGTAAAAACACCCGTTTTTCAGAAACCTACCGTTAGAATTCCCGTTTTTTCCGAAATCTACCTTAAAAACTCCCGTTCTTTCAAAATCTACCTTAAAAACTTCCGTTTTTTCAAAATGTACCGTAAAAACTCCCGTTTTTCCGAAATCTACCGTAAAAGCTCCCGTTTTTTCAGAAATCTACTGTAAAACTCCTGTTTTTTAAAAAATCTACCGCAAAAACTCCCGTTATATCAAAACCTACCGTAAAAACTCCTGTTTTTTCAGAAATCTACCGTAAAAACTCCCGTTTTTTCAAAACCTACCGTAAAAACTCCCGTTTTTTAAAAAATCTACCGCAAAAACTCCCGTTTTTTCAAAACCTACCGTAAAAACTCCCGTTTTTTCAGAAATCTACCGTAAAAACACCCCTTTTTTAAAAAATCTACCCCAAAAACTCCCGTTTTTCAAAACCTACCGTAAAAACTCCCGTTTTTTCAGAACCTACCGCAAAAACTCCAGTTTTTTCAAAATCTCCTGTTTCTTTTCAAAATTTACCGCAAAAACTCCTGTTTTTTTATATCTCCCGTAAAAACTACAGTTTTTTCAAAAATCTCCCGCAAAAACTACCGGATTTTGAAAAAAACTTCCGTAAAAGTACCGCAATTTTTTTTAAATCTCCCATAAATTTTTCATTTTAGGTTGGCAAGTCTGAAAGGGAACAATACAGTAAAACCTGGAATCAGAACACCTTTTAAACTTAACAAAATCCACTAATTTGAAAAACCTCAAGCTCACTGCATCATTTTTAGAAAAATGTGCGAATGTGTAGGTTTCACTGCCACCACTCAATTCACTCTTGAGTCCATATTTGATTTTTAATTTTTTCTTCACCCTGCAATTATTAATTAATTGGCTGGCTGATAATGCCTTCAGCAAAGCCACTACAAGTGTACAATGTTTATATATTGTATATGTATTTGTAAATAAATTCTATGAATAAAAAAATCAGAACACCTCAAATCTGCTTTCGGTGTAAACGCCTTTTCTCAGTTCCATTTGCCATAGTTGACCATGTTAAAGAAACATGAGATGTGAATACTGCCAAGCCTAACTAACACCACTCCCATAGTATTCAGATTAGACAGGTTTTACTGTAATCCAGGGGATATTTGCTTTGTGGGTAAAGAAAATCTTAAAATGAAAAGGATTAATTTATGAAATGGTGATATGAATTATATTTACTTTTAAGGCTCATCCAGTGTGCAGTGTTATCCAAAGTTTGCTTACTTCTGAGCCAAGTCAGCGTCCTAGAGCATCTGATCTCTTAAGAGACTCATATTTCTCTACCCCTATGACCCCAACGTCTAAAAGTACACGAGTCAGTCCAGAGGGAGAGACACTTCAGCTCAGGTGTGTAATATATATGTTTGTCTAGTATGGTGGCCATTTTGAATATTGATGTTAATATATATGTTTGTCTAGTATGGTGGCCATTTTGAATATTTAATGGCTGTGAGTCTTGTCTGCTGTTAACAAGATGTCCATTTTGATTTGCTAACCCTTTACTTATTGGCTCGTGCTGAGGCAAGAGCCATATTTCACTTGGGTTTAGTAGTAAGTGATAACGACAATGGACTGAGGTTTAAAAGTTAGTTTACTAGTAGAAAACCTGATGAGTTAATATTTATTGATGAAAATGAGTTAATTCCTCGAACAATAGTTTAACCCTAAGGTGTTAGTTTATTATGTCACCACCAAAAGTGGTGACATATTGTTATGGTCTCCGTTTTTTTTCGACGGCGTCCGGCGGTTGGTGGTTGGTGGTTGGCGTCCGGCGTCTGTAACAATTTCTTACAACTTCCTATAACTTAACAAATACTGTTTAGACTGACTTCAATTTTTTTCTAAATCATCTACATGTTCTCAGAAGTTCAAATCTGACTTTAGATTTGACATTTGACCTTCAATGACCTTCTCAAGGTCAAAAAGGTCTTTTTTCAACTTGCTTCACATTGACTAAATTTTTTTTCAAAATCATCTACATGTTCTCAGAAATTCAAATCTGACTTTAGATTTGACATTTGACCTTCAAATCTGACTTTAGATTTGACATTTGACCTTCAATGACCTTCTCAAGGTCAAAAAAGGTAAAAAAGGTCTGTTTTCAACTTGCTTCGAATTGACTAAATTTTTTTTTCAAAATCATCTACGTGTTCTCAGAAATTCAAATCTGACTTAAGATTTGACTTAAGATTTGACATTTGACCTTCAATGACCTTGTCAAGGTCAAAAAAGGTCAAAAAGGTCTGTTTTCAACTTGCTTCAAATTGACTAAAAAAAAAATTTTCAAAATCATCTATGTGTTCTCAGAAATTCAAATCTGACCTTAGATTTGACTTAAGATTTGACATTTGACCTTCAATGACCTTCTCAAAGTCAAAAAGGTCAAAAAGGTCTTTTTTCAACTTGCTTCAATTTGACTAAATTTTTTTTTCAAAATCATCTACATGTTCTCAGAAATTCAAATTTGACTTTAGATTTGACCTTCAGTGACCTTCTCAAGGTCAAAAAAGGTCAAAAAGGTCTGTTTTCAACTTGCTTCAAATTGACTAAATTTTTTTTTCAAAATCATCTACATGTTCTCAGAAATTCAAATCTGACTTAAGATTTGACATTTGACCTTCAATGACCTTCTCAAGGTCAAAAAAGGTCAAAAAGGTCTGTTTTCAACTTGCTTCAAATTGACTAAAAAAAATTTTCAAAATCATCTACGTGTTCTCAGAAATTCAAATCTGACTTTAGATTTGACTTAAGATTTGACATTTGACCTTCAATGACCTTCTCAAAGTCAAAAAAGGTCAAAAAGGTCTTTTTTCAACTTGCTTCAAATTGACTAAATTTTTTTTTCAAAATCATCTACATGTTCTCAGAAATTCAAATCTGACTTTAGATTTGACATTTGACCTTCAATGACCTTCTCAATGTCAAAAAAGGTCAAAAAGGTATTTTTTCATCTTGCTTCAAATTTACTAATTTTTTTTTCAAAATCATCTACATGTTCTCAGAAATTCAAATATGACTTAAGATTTGACATTTGACCTTCAATGACCTTCTCAAAGTCAAAAAAGGTCATAAAGGTCTTTTTTCAACTTGCTTCAAATTGACTAATTTTTTTTTCAAAATCATCTACATGTTCTCAGAAATTCAAATCTGACTTTAGATTTGACATTTGACCTTCAATGACCTTCTCAATGTCAAAAAAGGTCAAAAGGGTATTTTTTCATCTTGCTTCAAATTGACTAAATTTTTTTTCAAAATCATCTACATGTTCTCAGAAATTCAAATATGACTGTAGATTTGACTTTAGATTTGACATTTGACCTTCAATGACCTTCTCAAGGTCTAAAAAGGTCAAAAAGGTCTTTTTTCAACTTGCTTCAAATTGACTAATTTTTTTTTTCAAAATCATCTACATGTTCTCAGAAATTCAAATCTGACTTTAGATTTGACATTTGACCTTTAATGACCTTCTCAAGGTCAAAAAAGGTCAAAAAGGTCTGTTTTCAACTTGCTTCAAATTGACCAAATTTTTTTTTCAAAATTATCTACATCTTTTCAGAAGTTCAAATTTGACTTTACAAGTTCTCAGAAATTCAAATCTGACTTAATATTGTGAGCAACTAGGTGGTGACATTTTGTCATGTTAATGCCTTGTAATAAAATTGCGTTTGAGAGGGTTTCAAACGACATATACGCACATTTTACAACAACACCATGAACACTGTGCACTGATTTTCGGCAACATGATTTCCTAAATACGACAGAAATACGAGCGACTTCCTGATTTAGAATTGTGAACAATTTACAGCATTAAAAAAACTCTGAACATTTAACTATTTTATTAATATATTCAGAGAACGAGAATCAAATTGACCCATCTTCACTTTTTGATATGTTTGGATGTTTTCTAAGAGGTCCAGGTACTCAGACCTTTACAATTTAAAGATCTTAATCAGTTCAAAATGTTCGGATTTTTTCTACTTTGCCGTTCGGTAAATTACAACCGCGTTAAAAGTAAGCTTGGCAATTAACTTATACAGTGAAACTTGACTTAGAACTCTTCTGTAAGGAACACCTGCTTTACAAGTCATAGAACGTCTTCCAAAATATGCATAAAATTTCAATTTTTCAGTCTGTATCACTATTTATCAATACAATTCATTACAACACTGCAAACATCTCCTTCACACGAGCCTTCATTTTTTATCGTACCTAACAAAAGGTATGATATTGTAGTCAGCTTGATGGGCGGGCGGCGTCTCACTTTTCAGCTTGTCTACAGGTTTCCAGCCAAACCATTTGAGGGATTCATCTGAAATTTTCAGGGATGTTTCTACATATCAACGTCAAGAACTGATTAGTTTTTGGGCATTCTGGGTAAATCTTAAGGTGGCCATTTTGGATTTTCCGTCCTAAATCTTCACTTTCAAGACTTGTCTACAGGTTTCCAGCCAAACCATTTGAGGGATTCATCTGAAATTTTCAGGGATGTTTCTACATATCAACGTCAAGAACTGATTGGTTTTTGGGCATTCTGGGTAAATTTTAAGGTGGCCATTTTGGATTTTCCATCCTAAAATCTTCACTTTCAAGACTTGTCTACAAGTTTCCAGCCAAACCATTTGAGGGATTCATCTGAAATTTTCAGGGATGTTTCTACATATCAACGTCAAGAACTGATTAGTTTTTGGACATTCTGGGTAAATCTTAGGGTGGCCATTTTGGATTTTCCGTCCTAAAATCTTCACTTTCAAGACTTGTCTACAGGTTTCCAGCCAAACCATTTGAGGGATTCATCTTAAATTTTCAGGGATGTTTCTACATATCAACGTCAAGAACTGATTAGTTTTTGGGCATTCTGGGTAAATCTTAAGGTGGCCATTTTGGATTTTCCGTCCTAAAATCTTCACTTTCAAGACTTGTCTACAGGTTTCCAGCCAAACAGTTCAAATTTTTACATATGTTACACAGTGATAAGTTCTAGAGCTGATTAACTTTTCTGCGGCCATCTTGCTTTCTTGGTCAACAAGACCACAATGCTGTGTTTTAGGTACGATATTGTTCACGTCTGTGCCTTGTTCTAAAATGATCTCTTGTTTACTATCTAATGTAGTGAGGAACCTGGCTTCCATTATTTTTATCGCACTCTAAAAAAGTGCTACATTGCCATCTTGTGCTGTTTATCACATATCCGTCTCACACGGCCGTCTTACACGTAACTAGAGGCAACCAGTGATGAAGTTTCAATTTTTTAAAGAAAACAGTATGACGTGATGTCATTTCACAAGCAAGTATGAATACAACAGTATGACGTCTTATCCCACGATTAATGTGTTATCTGTACAATAACAGCTATTGATATTTCTGATATTATTGAAATCCGTGTGATATTTTCCAGAAAATCGTTTATCAAACTCATATGCGTGTGATATCGTTTATCTCACTCATATCCGTGTGATATCACATTTGCATTTCGCGCCACAATATTATTGGAAATTAGGTCAGATAATTTATTCTCTTTTGAGAAAATAGGTCCGTTAATTTATTCTCTTTAAGTTTCATTGGTGTATTGAATTACGATTGTGTATATAATTTAGATTAGAAGGCTGCTAAATAACGACTAAATATGGCATTTATGACGAACTATATCATGTACAGAAAAGTAGTGCATATTACTGCGCAGTGAGTAAAGTACAAATCAAAATGGCCGGTGCAAATTCGTCTGACGAAGAATTGGCGAATTTCGACATTCACATGGGAAATTCTGACGTTTCCGATGAAAATCAAGAGAACAGTGATAACAGTGAGTTTGACAGATTCGGGAATGAAGATGTTAATGCATTTATTGCCAATCAAAAGAACAAAAACACTTTGCGAAAAACAGCAAGCGATATGAAAATACTTAGTGAATTCCTGAAAAAGAAAGCAGAAAACAGAGACATTCTCGATATATCTCCTGAGAGACTTGATGAGTATTTGGCTGATTTTTTTGTCAATATACGTAAGAAAGACGGAGACGAGTATGAGCCTTCAAGTATACGGCAAATGATGGCTAGTGTTGACCGCTATCTAAAACAAGGTCGCTATGGGAAAAGCTTGCAGAATGATGATGTATTTTACATGACTAGACAATCAGTTGTTGGGAAACAAAAACAACTGAAGAAACAGGGTAAAGGCAACAGGCCAAATCGCACACGTGCCTTAACAACTGAAGAAATGGATAAGCTATATGCCGAAAATATTTTGTCAATGGACAATCCTGTGGCATTGATAACTTCTGTGTACTGGAACAATTGTTTCCATTTCGGCATAAGAGGTGGTGTTGAAAGCCGACAAATGTGTTGGGGAGATATAACGCTACACAAAGACGCAGATGGCAGGGAGTACCTTCAGTATAATGAGCGCCAGACGAAAACTCGAACAGGTACAGATACAAGGGACATACGTGTAGTTCCGCCCAAGGCTTACAGTACAACAGGTGATCTAATGGATCCAAGAGATCCCGTTTCTGTGTATAAACGATATTCAACCATGAGACCGGCAGATATGAATGGTGCAGACTCTCCATTCTACCTGGGCGTTCGACATGCTGCCGAAAAGACTGGGAGAACTTGGTTTCTACGACAGCCCATGGGTGTTAACTACATAGGAGCTCTCATTAGAAGGGCATGCAACCTAGGTAATTTCATTTCACATCATTTTACATAAAAACAGTTTCAAACTATTAACTAAGTGAACAGTGTTTGTCGATAATCTGTGAAAGGCTAATATGAAGCCAAAATGAGTCGGATGCATAAGTATAATTTTAACCAGAAAAACCATTTATTTAGATTATAGAATACTATTATACAGTATCCTCTAATCTTCGTATCTTTAGAATTCAATCAAAAATCTAAATTTTGGAAGGAATCTAATTTTCGGAATTTCTATATTTTCAGCCGGAATCAACAGTACCCCTGGGGCCAAAATTGCAAATCACACCAGCAGAAAGACCACTATTAAAACCCTCAAGAAACACAATGTTGCAGACACAAATATTGCACAGATTAGTGGCCACAAGAATCTAAAATCTATTTCCAATTACCGTATAATGACATGGATCTCGATGAACACAAGGAAGCAAGCCATGCCTTAAGCAATTTTGATCCTGGATACAGCAAAATGCAATCTAATATGCATCATAAATCTGTGTCAGATATACAATCTGCAAGTAGCTCATCTATTGCATCTACCAGCCGGAGCCCATTAGGATCACTATTCCAGAATGCCAACATTTCTGGGGGCACTTTTAATATTATGGTCCCACCAGTTCAATCACATTCACATAATAAGACCTCTCGCAGGGGGAGGCTAGTAGTGAGCAGTGACTCGTCACAGTCACAATAATATTAACTGTTGCTGACATAAAACTGACAAAAAAACAATTTTTACATGTTCATTTTATTCACTTTTAATTGTTATAATAAAGTGTTTCAAATATTCAATTGATATTCTAATTTCTAGTTTATATTGTCTGCCAATGTCCTGGAAATTGGATCAGAACATCACAAGGTGATTGATATCAACTCGGCGATAAAAATGATATCACTCAAAATGATGTGATATTCTGTATATATTATATCAAAATTATAATAGTTACCAGGAGTACAGACTACTGAACACAATCATAATGACCAAATCAATATGCTTCGTCAAAATTCCTAGACATGTGATAAAATCGTCATCACACGTTTCAGCTTATGTGATAAAGGAAATATTCCACTCGGGTAACAATGTATCACCACTCAAGCTTCACTTTCGTGGATGATACAGTATTACCTTTCGTGGAATATTTCCTGTATCACATGCCTGTGCAGTGATAACTGATAGTGTGATAATTGATAGTATGTTTGGGTGGGAACCACATAAATCTTGTCAGTAAAATTTCAGGAAAACTGCTATTATCCATTGAACTTTTTACACAGACTAGTGCCAAGATCTGATATTAGGTTCGGGGCATGCTGGGTAAACTACAGGGTGGCCATTTTGCTCTTTAAAGTGTGATTTATCACTTGTTCTTGAAGCATGACAATTGCAGCAATTTTCTTTGTAATTCCAGACCAAAGCAGCCATCGCCCACATGTAACCAAGGCCAGAAGACTGGCATTCTAAAGAACTCCCCAGCCAGTTCACCTGTATTGGCAGCCAATCAGCCTCAAGCTAGGGCTTCACCTCCTATCTTAACAACAGTGGCTCCCTCTGACACACCCCAACCCCAAGCAGTGCCAATTGAGGACCTTGCACAAAAAGGTAGGTTTCTACCAGATGCCTTTTAACTATAGTGTTGTACGTAATATTTCAAGTGTGAAAATCAAATGATCCATTTATTTTAAATGAAAATTCATAACTTTCAAACTTTTTTTCCAATATTTGGCATGAAACAGATTTTTAGAGAAATGTAAGAGGAAAAACAGACAAATATAAGAACAGGTATTAGACAATTGTATCTGTGTTTTGATGATTCGGGATACTTTGTTTATTTAGTTTTTGAGTGTATGATTTTTTCCTGAAATTATGTTATAATTTTGATATTATATTATTATCTAAATATTGCTTTAACATCTTTAAACATGCAACACATTTTAGCATCGGCTCGTGCAGAATCTGCTAGCTCTGGTCGTGAGATGACCATCTACGATGATGATGATCCATTTAGTGGGGACTATGTTGACAAAGATGATGAAGCTTTCGGTAGGCTCAACTTTCGTGCAAAACTTAATGGAGTAAAATATTTAATGTCTAAAATTGGAGTAATTTGAGTGAACTCTTTGGTACAAATATTCATGTACTATACGAGGATTTTTTAAGCATTTGACACATAAGTCAATCAGTCAGATCCTCCATCAAGGTATTTCATGCTTTCCACCAAATTATTTTATACTTTTCATCAAGGTATTTCATGCTTTCCATCAAGGTATTCATACTTTCCATCAAGGTATTTCATACTTTCCATTTAGGTATTTCATGTTTTCCATCAAGGTATTTCATGCTTTCCATCAAGGTATTTCATTTTTTCCATTTAGGTATTTCATGTTTTCCATCAAGGTATTTCATGTTTTCCATCAAGGTATTTCATACTTTCCATTTAGGTATTTCATGTTTTCCATCAAGGTATTTCATGCTTTCCATCAGGGTATTTCATACTTTCCATCAGGGTATTTCATACTTTCCATTTAGGTATTTCATGTTTTCCATCAAGGTATTTCATGTTTTCCATCAAGGTATTTCATGCTTTCCATCAAGGTATTTCATGCTTTCCATCAAGGTATTTCATACTCTCCATTAAGGTATTTCATACATTTTATAAAGGTTTTTGGCTCACACAGTGAGCCTATGGGATCGACCAGGCGTCCGTCCGTCCGTTGGTCCGTCCGTCCGTTGGTCCGTCCGTCCGTCAACATTGGCCGCACAAATTAAAACTGCTATTCTGATTGAGTCATATCCACATTCATTTTATGCATATCCATAATGCCTATTTGACCTATCATCGCCGTTTCCCAAGTTTGCCCGGTTTCCGAGAAATTGCGGATTTTGACGTCAAAAAGTCAAATTTTCTGTAAATACTAGACACTTTGTTGAAGTAGAACTTTCAAATGACTTTTAGTAGTTGCTGTATATGTAACTTATGTCCTCTGAAGATTTCAAAGCTCTTGGAATTACAGTTTTTGGTGTTTACTCTATAAAATTTGACAAAAAGTAGAACTTAGGTCATTTTCAGGAAACTTTCTCATGTATAAAGTCAATGGCAGGTTTTGTGATTGACAAGTTTCTCAAAGTTTCCCTTATACTTGATCATTTCTTGCAATAAATTACATCATTACTAGATTTAAGCATTCTTACATATTGCTCAATATATGTCAGCATCAAATTTTTACCGTTTTTGAGATAATTGATGTCAAAAAACCAGCAAAAATAAGTTATTTTTCAACTTGCTTCAATTTGACCAATTTTTTTTTGAAAATCATCTACAAGTTGCCAGGAGTTCAAATCTGACATTAGTTTTAGGATTTGACCTTTACTTGACCTTCAGTGACCTTCAAAAGGTCAAAAAGTTGATTTTTCAAATTGATTTTTGGATGTAAATTTTGGTCAGCTTAATCACAAAAGACCTTACGCTCTGAATTAGTAAAATTTTCAAGGTCAAAGGTCATCAAACTAGGTCACACAACTGTGCTATCTAAGTTTCTCAAAGTTCGAGACTACAAATCCAAATCAATATTTTTGTTTGAAAGTCAGGATATACATTCCTCTGAAGGTTCCAAGCTGTGTGAGCACAGGACCGTGGGTCCTTCATTCATACCTATACTAGCCACTTGTCAGCTATGTCACCTAATCATTTCTCTTTAATGATCGCAATTTTATGCTTTTTATGTCCCCACCACATAGTGTGGGGCCATATTGTCGGCCTAGGCGCGTCCGTCCGTCTGTCTGTCTGTCCGTCTGTCTGTCTGTCCGTACGTCCGGCAGTTTTCTCCAAAACCGCTACAGATATCACCTTCAAATTTTCAGGGATAACTTATGAGTGCATACAGATGTGGATGAAAAAAAATTAACTCGATACCTACTTCCTGTCGGCCATTTTGAAGTCAAATGCTAAAATCCTTGTCTGCAAACTTTAAGAAAAACGGCTTCACAGTTGCTTTTAAAACTTCAATATCTTGTTCAGCTCACTTCATTCTAGATCTGATTAGGTTTTGGACCTGTTAGCTCAGTCATGTCAGCCATTTTGAATGTTTTAAGAAAAGTTAGCGCACGATAATACTGTAGATTGGGTTAATTTGGCGCTACTTAATTTGGCGATTTTGCCATTTTTGGCATATTGGCGGCTATTTAATTTGGCGGATATGCAAAAAAAATTAAATTAACTTACGCGTTGTTTGCGAATTTTATGTTAATTTTTTCTTTTGAGGACCACTGGCAATATTCACCACGTTTGTACATTTTTGTGAGATCATCCTTTACATTTTGCACCTCGATTGATACTGCTACTATACTGCACTTTTCCTTTCTAGTTTTTCCCTGAGTATTAATAAGTGACTGACCAGTTCTGAGCCAATTTATGAGAGACATTTTTTCATATTTTTGGAAAAAAACTAAACCGGAAGTGACCTAAATACACTCGACGAAATACCCTAGATAATTCCCGGGGATTCATTCTAAATTTTGGCGAAGATTTATATTGGCGAATTTTTCAATTTCGCCAAATTCGCCAAATTAAAGCGGGCGCCAAATTAACCCAATCTACAGTACTTTGTATCATATTGAATGGTGTTTTTCAGTTTTAATACTTAAACTATTTCTTAGCTTTATAAATAATTTCAGGTGTACTTTGTTGTAAAAGCCTATGTTATTGTTAACAGTAGTTATATGTGATAATTTTGTAAAAAGAAATCAGCAAAAACTCATAATCACTTTTTTATTGTCGGCCATTTTGGATTTTTCCGTCCTAAAATCTTGTCTGTAAAGTCTTGTCTACGCGTTTTCAGGTCAACCGTTTGGTAAATCAATTTCAAATTTTCAGGGATGATTCTTAGTATGAAAATCTAGATCTGATTAGTTTTTTGGCATTCTGGGTAAATTTTAAGGCAGCCATTTTGGATTTTCCGTCCTCAAATTGTGTCGGTAAAGTCTTGTCTACTCATTTTTAGGATAACCATTTGACGGGATCACCCATTGGTGGGGACATTTTGTACACATTTGTGTTCTTGTATAAGGTATTGGTCTGGACGAGGGAGGAGATACTGAGGACACACATAACACATCAGATACTATCAAACATGAGACGACCTTTACAGAAGAACTTGCCCAGTACCAGGAAGAGAAAAGAAAGGCCGCTGACAAAGAGGGAGAAGAAGCTGATGGGGAAACAGCAACACCTGTTGGCGACTCTGATATCGATGATCTTACTGATAGGGCTTCCAAATTAGATGTTGACAGTGAAAAGGTCTGTATATACTGATTGAACTTTGTTTTACTATATTATATTAGCATGACATGTACAATAAAACCTTTCTAATCAAAATGCCAATGGGCCAACTGGGGCTGGTCAAAAGTTTTGGGATTGTGCTCACATTTTGAGGTTTTTAGCTCACATGTTATAATAGTGTGGCATAAAGTGGAACCGAGCCAAGTGTTAACTTTTAGAATTGTTCAGATTAGAGAGATATACAGGTTCTTCCGGTAAATCTGCTTAAAGGTTCTAGAATAGGTTTAGTTTTATGTTTTAGTGTGATTTCTATTATGGAAGAATAATTTCATTTGGGATGTGAAAACACTCACCTTTAGACAGGTGACAGTGTTTCTCTAACAAATAGATCTTATGCTTCAAATACTGTAATAACTGAAAATTATGTTTGTGGAAGAATCATTGACATTTTGACCTTGCCCCTTCTAGTAATATGCATGGTAGATGTTGCATCAGTAAAATAGAATCACTTGTAGCATGTCTCACACTGTACAGTCCCATCGCAATCTAGTGACAGGAAGTTGGCTGGATTTTATCAGTAAATGTAATCATGATAATCGGGAAAATATGATTATCTGGATTGCACTGGGTCTGTAGAGTGTGTGCATTTAAAACATTCATTTTAGCTGGCTGAAGGAAGGTAATATTAGTATTAGTAATATTATAATAAATATTGTACAATACTGTTTTGCAAGCAATCAATCAAACTTTGTTGTCAGCTTGTGAAATTGATCTGTTATAGGGTCAGGGGGAGGGACTTAGAAAAGGGGCGTTAACATTGGAGCAGATGAGATCCCTGATTGACACTGCGGCAGCACAACCTTTAGAGCTCATTAGTCCAGGTAGGATTTGTCCAATCCAGGTGGTGGTTAAGTTTTGAAATATAGTTACAAAGTAAAATGAGTGGAATTGCCAATGGAGAGGGTCTACTAGAAAGGGTATCATCTTATACCTTATCTTCAAAATCCTTCGAACAGGCAGCATCCGGCAGTAGGTGTTTGGTAGTCTGCAGGGTTCGAACTTAACTTTTCAGACTGGTAGTGAAAATAGTTACCTGACATCTTTTCTAGGTAACTAAATTCCAAAGTAAGGTAGTTGTTTTTACCGGTTGAAAAAATGTCGATAGACACAGTTTTCCTTCACACTAAAAACAAGTCTATCGATCTGTTGATCTCAAATTTATTATTATTCCATGATACCATTTGAAACTTCATGCCTTGTTTTCAGAGATAGTACTAAGAACATGTATCTATCATGTCTATGTGAAATCACACCAGGAAACTTTCAGAATAATAGATATAGATATATTTGCCTCAAAAGATAGTATTTTTCTGACTCAAAAGTAAACAGAATTAACTTTAGAAGACCTCAGAAGAATGTTTCAAGTTAAACAATTCAGAGAAAACTTGTTGTCTTATGAGAACATACACATTGGTAGTCATGTGATCAGACCAAATTATAACAGGCCAATCATGTTGTTTCAACATTCAAATTTGAATTTCCCACAATGATAAACATTCCTAAGTGGCTCTAAGTGAAAGGTCAACCTGCTTAATCTATGCAGCTGTTGCGTTTTAGAGTTTCCCTCCCCAAGATTTTGTTTTTTATTTCAAGTCTACATGGTGAAATGGGAACTGCAAACTTTATTGAAGGGGGTATGCTTATTGAAAGCAATTACTAGTATTTTTCTCAATAGATGTCTCCCTCACACTAATCTGAGAACAGGAAGTTCAAAAAGTATCTTAATAATACGGTGATTTTACCTGAAAATTGACGGTTTTTAAGTCTTTATTTTAGAAAAATAAGAATCTGTATGGTAAGTAAACACTTTATCTTATGTTTTGAGAAGTTATAGCCTAAAAGCTGAAGTGAAAGAGGACGAAAAGTGCCAAAGAAAAACATTTCAAAAAAGTCAGGAAACTGTTTTCGTTACTTGGGCATGTTGCTAGGTAGCGATTTGAGAAAATAAAGGAACGAATCGTTACTTCCGCAACACTAATTTCGAACCCTGAGTCTGCATGTATAACAAATGGCAGGAGGTGACATTTTGCATGTTAATGCCTTGTTCTAGTTCTACTTTAACGAATGAGATGACCTGGCATGCTCCAAGTTGTATATGGAAAGGCTAGAAATTCAGAAAGGAAAATGTATGCTGTAGGTCAGAGAGTATGGGAATCTTGTACCTCTCTTTGTTGTGTTGTTCTGTTCTGGACTGCACATGAGCTAAAGGGATGTAAGATCACTCTACTATACCTAACACCTAGAAATGCATAGGATACTCTGTCTAATTGTATTGTTTAGTATATTTTTGAAAGTGCCTAACATTCAACTGATAAACCATTAATAAGGAACAGACAAATAAAAACAAATACTGTAAAACGGGTATTGTTAGCGAGGGGTAATTGTTAGCGATTGTTAACGATCGCTATAGTTTCGCTAAAAATTCAATTCGCTAAAATAAACCGGGGTTAAAATAAACCGGGCAAAAATTTGCAAAATCCCGGGAAACTACATGAATACTAGTATTTAAGGAGCTTTTCGTTCAGTGCTCGACTTCCGGCTTGTAATTTGAAAAAGGTAAATATTTTTAAATCGTATGTTTCTTTCAATATCTGAAGGATAAATAGCCATCCATCAGTGAAATAGTATTAGTAGTAAATTTAAAAGATAAAAGGTGTTAATTGAACACGGTTCAACAACCAATGATATTGCTTAAATTCTCCCGTACCATAAGTGAGCAAAGCTAATTTGATTTTTTAAAGATTAATCTTTATTTCGCTAAAATTTCCCGCGCTAAAACCCCCTAAAATTCCCAGTGTCAAAATTACCCGTTTTACAGTACATAATCTTTAATAATAAGCCAAATGGCTCATGAACACCAAATGCAAGGTATATTAGAGTGAAGATTAATGAATAACTTGAATGTGTCTTGACATATGTACAATTTATACACATATCTTCATTCTTCCTTCAGATTTCACATGGTATTTTATGGTATAATATAAATATAGTAGAAATAATAAATGTGATGTCTAAATCTCCAATATCTTTTCATGTTTAATTTTCATTTATAGAGACATATTCAATGCTATACAAGTAATAAAAGCATGAAGTAGACACTAGCTTTGAAATGTAAGAAAATGAGACACTTCATTAATTTCAGGGAAAATATTGCAAATATGGCAGTCACGTGCCGTTTCAAAGTAATGGATATTATTCATCATAATTCATGTATCTTTCAGTGAGCAGTAATGAGTCAAAGAGTTCCTTTGAGGTGATACCCAGTAGTGAGGGGGAAACAAAGTGAACAACTTAACATACAATGAGACACCTAGTTGTGAGTGGAAAACAAAGCAATCAACTTTATGTATTAGGATAATGTGTGGGGAAAGGAAGTGAATACTGAACAATGTGACACATATAGTAGTTAGGGAAAACAAAAGGAACAACTTACATACAATGTGACACCTGGTTGTGAGAGGAAGACAAAGTGAACAAATGAATATACAACGAGACACTGAGTAGTGAGAGAAGGCAACATGAACACCTTCAATCTTAAAATAGCTGTCACATTAGCTATGTGGGCTCACCATGGCTAATTTTGGGCATTAATTTTTAATTAATTTTTTGTATTTGGTGATAGTGGATATTTTCCTATAAAACTATTTGTCTTGCCCACCGCGTATCCATGCCCTGCTGGCTGCTCCATAGTGGTCGCACAGTGAGAATTGATGAGCCCACGTGGCCTAAGTGTGACAGCTCCATAAAGGACATTAAAGTGTACAGCATTAGAACAAAGGATATAGTATTTTATCTATGGTCATTTAGTCAGTGTCCTCAAATTGAATTCATGTAAATGTTTAGTATAGCTTCTCACAGCAATAGCTTGATTCCTGTCATCATGTGTGTATTGAGTAGGAAACACTGCAAAGAGATGTGCCTTGTTGTCTCTAGGTTTGTGTTTTGTTTTGAAATTTAATTAGGCCTACCTAATGTTGACAATTTAATGTCACAAACTGATAATTTGATGTCCCAAACTGACACCTGATGTCAAAAATGATGTCAAATGATGTTACACATTGATTGTTCAATGTTACAACTGATAATGTGTCATTACAGACACAATTTGGAGAAAATCTAGAAAGAAATCCATTGATGAAAATACTAATGGTGTCATATTTGAGATTAGTTTAAAAAATTGGTTCTGATCTGAAACTTTTATATAAACTGTATAAAGTGTATCATATTGTAGATAAACACCTGTACATTATCTAGGACTTTAGCTGGAGAGTCAACATGTATGATGAGTGTGTACAAGTACATTTAATAAGTAAAAGGACATCTGTTGTCTGTTTAATGGTGCTTTTAATCCTATCTGGCCATTTGCAACTTCATTGGTCAGACCTTGTGGATTTGACAATTTCATTTATTTCTTTTATTTAAATTATTGTTGCAGTTTTAGCGTTGAAAGAGGTCCCTTTTCAATGTTTTTTCAACTAAACAGTCAATTTGTTCTACAATGTAAAGGCACTAAAAATGTCGAACTAAATATGAGAAAAGCTGAAAAGCATAATGTCTTGCAATACAATTTGTGACTGACATATTTGATCATATTATTTCAGTGGAAAAATGTCACAATTTGAATGTCATATTAATTTTTTCAACGATGTTACAATGTTAGTTAAGAACTAATATAGTTATGTAAGATTGAGACATTATGTTAAATTAGTTTGGTTTAATATGGTATGAGACAGTTAGATGTTTACAGGTTATATGAAATGAAATTGAAATAAGAATGAAAACATTTTTAAAGTATATTTTTGGTTACACATTGAAATTCATAAATGTTGCATTATACATGTTATACGTCGTATATTTGGTATCATTTTTTCGCAAGTTTAGATAGGCTATATCTTCTCATGCTTGGTCTTCACGAGGATGGGGGCCTAGTGAATGAAGATGGTAGGCTACTTAATGAATATTTCTATTGCTTTAGACTGTAAGATGATAAATCCTTATAAGTTCACAAACTTATACGCTGTGAAGAGTTCTCCCCGGGATCTCTTAAAATTCTTGAAAATCATACGATGCAAGTTTCAAGTCACATGTACATAATGTAAAATAGCATATAGGATTATGCATAAACTACATTAGCCTTTGATATATCATAGATGTCGACAGTATATAGATAGCATTAACTTGAAATCTGTATGTAATATTTTACATGTACATGTACATGTATGCTTAGTATTTTACATGTTCAATGTACATATAAGACTGGACTGTAGATTTAGGTTGAGGCCAATAGTAACAAAATTGTGACAAAATTAAAAAAGTAAAAGGTATTCTACTATTCTAGTCTGTTGCAGAAAGCAAGTCATTTGAATGTTTGATAAAAATGTCATTTTGATAATAGAGAGATTTCGCAACTCACTTATAGCATGTTTATTATTCTTGTATAATGTATAACTTATGAAGCGTTTGATTTCATCATCATTTATTGCGCTGCTCTATATGTCCATAACTGTGATATTATTATTAAAAATCGTCATCTATATGTATGAATATCACACTTAAGGGCGTATAGAGCTGCGCAATAATTGATGATGTAATCAAACGCTTCATAAGCTATACGTTATCTGGGAACAATGAACATGCTGTAAGTGAGTTGCAAAATATCTAATATCTCTTCATAACATGTTTGAAGTGGTTGATTTATTAACATTTCCACACATTTGCATTGTTGATAGATCTGTTTTTGTCATTTTCCGATCCTACACTTAAGTTTCTATCTATTTTCCATTTTTGATCTGACGGAAAAATTTTAGCCAGTTAAAGCAATAATCAGTGAAGTGAATTCCTGACTTCTGATTGGTTTAGAAATTGATAAACCTGCCCACTTTTTTTTGTTAATTTTCTGCAGCATTTATTTCATGTAAATTGAAAGTATATATTTCAAGATCATGAAACCATTATTTTTGTATATTATTAGTTATTATGTAATAGTCTGATCTATTTTTGTAGCTATAGGTTTATGTGCAATAAAATGCATTCATTATAAACATTCACAAATTGTTTGTCAGAATAAGCCAGAACAGGGCTAGCCAACATTGTTCAGTAATAATTCAAAACATGGTTACTCATTAAACTAAACAGCAATGCCAAAGCGTAGCAAATCCCATCGAACAGCCATGGCTGGCATTTTTACAAACAAAGTATTATATAAAAATGGCAGCCATTTTTCAAAATGGCCACCTTCAACCAAAGTGTCGTTAGACAATGTGCCATGCATATAGTATTCACATACCAAATATGAACAAAATCGCTCCACTACTTTTCGAGTTATAGTAAAATACATTAAAATGGTGGCCATTTTGAAAAATGGAAGGAAGGTAACTGGAAATGCATGATCTGTGAAACAAAGATCTCAGTACCTTCTCTTAAGTGGTAGAAGATAATATCGTTGAACTGTGGCGCCTACGCACTGCATATGAACAAATGATGATACAGGAGTTACCATGTCATATAAACCTAATTTAGTTCAAATATCAAAGCATTACGTCAACTATTAAAGCCTCACTATACTTAATTTAGGAGAAAAAAGAAAAAATGATCATTGAAACATATTACTCACACACTCGCTCAAATATGACACAAACTTTGATTTGCTTTAATATTGAACCAAGAAAAAAATAACTCGCATAGAAAAAAATATTTTAAGTTCAGAGATAATTAGACATGCATGCACATGTATGCTAAACAAAGTGCATGTTTTTTTTTTAATTACTTTTGATTTAAAAAATGGCGACACACTATAATAAAAATGAATGTATTATGTAATACAAACAACTTCGCCATCTTTCAATGACATTGATAAAACTTGAAATATATTTTGACAGATTGAAAATATTTAGGTTGCCAAACTTATGGAGGGGAGTGTATATACAATTTGTGTTTTGTCAGGACAAACTGTTACCACCAACGAAGGCTGTTATAAAATAGTTAGGCTATAACTGTAACAATGTCACCACTTGTGCCATAGTGTTGACATAATAACACTTTTCCATAGAACAGAAGAGTCTAGTCTAGAACACCCATGGACATGGTCTAATCTGAGAAGACCTTAGTACACTTTGGTTCAACATACATTGGAATAAACTAAGGAAGGTTAAAGGTTGAATCAAGGTACAGGGTGAACCATAAAAAGTGAACCCAAACTTATGTTAATACTGGTAACAACTCGGTCAACCAGCATGGGTTCAATGTCATGTTTGTCATATTAAGTTTCATTCATGTCATTGGTCTGTTCCAAATTGACAGAATTTTGTGGCAATTTTACAAAACATGCTCAAAATACCAGTCTCGTCTCTGGAGGCAGGTTGAAAGCAAATGGTGATGTTGTTCCCACTATACACTCACATATATCTTGTGTAATGGCTCTCATTTTCCTTGCAGTCTATTGTTTCAACTCTCTGATGCTTCTAGGGTTGTTAGTGTAGACATTATCTTTGAAATAGCCCCAAAGATAAAATTCTAGAGGTTCATATTGGGTGATTTTGGCATGGCAGACATTAGAGAGATTTCGCACCTAGTGAAAGTACAACTTATAACGTATACTTATACTTATAGGTAAACGTACAAGGTGTTTCATAATGTGGGCTTTTCGTCAGGAAAGATCTTCTCGGACTGTAATAAATACAGGTCAAAGGGATGCCATTTGTACTTTCTTGAATTGTAGCATGTTTAGTTGATCCAAATGTCTTTGTCTAGAATAAAATAGGCTCATATATAGTACATATGTTATAGACCCATCTCTTCTCAAATTGACTTTTTGGGGATGCTCGTTATGAAACACCCTGTATGTCATATGTTGAGCTACTGAATTTACTGTTTCCAGGAATTGTAGAACCTACTGGTTTGATTGGTGTTTCAAATTGATGGTTAAAGTATTTGATTGGATACTGTTCCTACTCAGCCAATTAATTTCAAAAAATGCTTGCGTCAATTGTTCCACACACGTGTAGGCAAATCTTTATACGGAGATCCAACTGTATACGTTATCATCTACGTAAATATACTGTTTTGTAAGTTCATTGAACTTATACTGATCATGAAAACATTGAAATAATCAACTTGTTTATGTAATGACTCACTTTAAAGAATCATGACTCACTTTAAAGGATCGTGTTTATAATACACTACAACTACAAGGACACGGAAGCAAGCATTTAATCATAATGTGCATAATCTACACGTGCAGATGACAGTGCATTCATAGTCTCTAGTTGATGGAGCTTTTCTATAACGGGAATAGTTATGTTCCATTAAGTACAATTTAAAATTGATTTTAGTAAATATAATAGTTCGACATGACCCTTTAAACTATACGTATACGTATAAGTTGTACTTTCACTTATGTGCGAAATCTCTCTATTATCTTTGAAATAGCCCCAAAGATAAAATTCTAGGGTCTATAGATGATTTTGGCATGTTACAGCATTTGGAGCACATTTTGTAAAATGGCAATACTATCATGACTATTTGGAATAGACCACTGGAATTTGTGGAATGAAAGAGAATTGAACAAGGATCAATTATGCCAAATATGAGGTAAC